GTTCACGATCTTTAACCAATGTTTTTAGCCTGGCGCCGTTTCGCATCGTGCCGTGGAGTTGGTTGCATTTCGCTTTTAAAGTTGTAGTTTTCAGTGTTGTTAATTCGGACTTAGGCCTAGCTAAACTCATTCGTATTTGTATGCGATTCATAACTTATGTTCAGTAAAATATTAGTAATATTTAGAGCGTTTAATTATGCCGAAAGTGTGCAGAGTGCTTCGCTGCGATCCTCCTCTTTTCCCGGCACTGCCGCACACTCCGCAGTTAGATATAGAATAACAACAAATACATGTTAAGGGTTTCCTAACACTTGTGAGCCACTCGGAGCTTCCCCGGCCGCCTCAGCAGCGCAGGGCGGTGCATCAACGACGCCAGGAACGATCCTCGGACTCCTCGTCCTCCTCCTCATCCTCCAAACGCAGCTCCGGCAGCGTGTCGCTGCCCAACAGACTCTCGCTCTCGCTGACGGACTGGATCAACTGTTTGGGATTCTCTAGGCTGGCGGCCATGGCAGCTGGTGTGTTGGTCTTCTCAGCCGGTGCCGCCATCGGAACCGGTGCGGGTGTCACCACGGGCGCCCACGAAATCTGAGGTGGCATATCGACAATTACTAAAATGCCTTATGCGGAAGGCATTATTTGTGTTCCACTCACCTGCAGGCGCTTGTCTTTGTACATTTTGCCCCGGAGCACGGCTTGTTCGGCATTGAGGCGGGTCGCATAGGAGAGTATTAACTGTGGAATCTCACGGTCTACATCATGCTTGGAAATCTCGCCAAAGTTCTGTGAAATACAGCAGAATAATTGTTAATTAATCACTTATACTCAATAATAGATTTAAATCCGTAAAACTACGACCAATCTCTGTGGATAACTCACCTTAAAGTGCCCCAGGACAAAGTCAGCCTCTTCGGCTGCAAAGCCAGTGACCACAATAGCCTTTGGTCGCCTATCGACGCGCGTGGGTCCCTCCGGCAGATTCGGACGCTTGCGTCCTCCACCGGCTGCCCCGGAAGCTGCCGCAAAGTGGGGCGACTTGCTGTTGTTCGCGGCTGGTCCTCCGCCGACGCCTAGATTGCGCTGCAGCTCCTCCAGTCGCTTCTGTATGGCCGTGGTGTCGTTGCCCTCCTGCTGCTGGGCAATCAGCTCCAGCTCCATGTCCAGCAGCTCCTTCTTCTGCTGCTCCTTGGTCTTTTTGACGGGCGGCTGCTGATGCTGCTGTTGCTGCTGGATCTGCGCCTGAAGCTGATCCTGCTCGGCCTGGATTTCCTTGCGTAGCTTGTCGATTGTCATCTGCAGCACTTTGATTGTTTGCAGGGTGGGGGCCCTCTGGGCATCCTGCTGGTCCATTCGCTCCACCAATTCCAGTGCCGTCTTCATTTGCTTCATGTAGCTCTGGAGCAATTCCTGTTTGCGTTTGCGCAGCCCGTTGGCCAACAGATGCACTGCTTTTTGCTGTTCTTCCTGCTTTTTGCGTATGCTGGCGGCATTGGCAGCCGGATTCATGGGACGACCTGCTGCGGCTCCACCAGCACCTGCTCCAGCCGCTCCGCCCGCTGGCGTCGTGTTCAGCTTGAGACGCATGGAGGCGGGAGCCGCTGTGCTGGCCTGCTCTGCCGCCGGTGTGCCAATATTGCCCGCCCCCGCCTCGGTGAGAGGATTGGCGTTGCTGATCTTCGCACTATCTGCATTGGGCGTGGGTACGGCGGGAACGTTGTGTAGATGGTACTGGCTAGCGTTTTTCCGGCCACCGCCTCCTCCACCGCCGCCCATCTGGTTCATCTGTCCCACGTCCGCTCCGCTGCTGTCGTTGTGCCAGAAGACCTTGATGAATCTATTATTTAGCACCGCCTCCGTGCTCCTGTAGGCCACATTCGCTTCCGCATGGGTGGAGAATGTCACAATAGCTGCCTCTGGATCGCCCTCGTACGACACCTGGATGTTGACGATCTTGCCAAACTTGGCAAAGTGGTTGTTCAAATGGGCAATGGTGTTCAATCCTCGCGGCACCTTCCTCAGCTCCAACGAGCTGTTGTGTTGCTGCATGTTGGGATTAACCCGTGGGCCAAGGCGACTGTTGATTGGCACCTTTCGTTTGGTGGGCACATCTGCAATGGCCACCGTATCTTCCAGCTCGAAGCGCCGCTTACCCACCTCAGCCACGCCGCCAGAGGGAGCGCCATCGACCACCGGTATGGGAATCAGTTGGCGCTGCAGCGGTGTGGTCACCGCAGTGGGATTGAAAGGGAATGGCATCATGGCGGGCTGCGGCGGTGCGCCGGGGTTGCGCGCGTAGTCAGCGGGATTGGGAACGCCCATCGGATTGGGCACAGATCCGCTCATCAGCGTGCTGGGTCGCACATTACCGCTGAACGGGTTAATAGTGGTCTGACCTGGCTGCGTTGGCGGGGGCACTGGTCCCTGTCCAGCTCCTGGCGGCGGTCCTCCGCCTCTCGCCCATATCTCGGGCGCATCCGGATTGTACTCTCGCATGGACATCATCAGGGCCGAGTTGTTAATGCCCTCGAACACCACCGGGTTGATGCCGTGGTCCCAGGGGCACGTCTCGCCCCTGACACAGTAGCCCTTCTCGTCAAAGTCCCGGCAGCGCTGGCGAGGATGGGCAGCCGGATGCTCCACGGGCGTAGGCGCTGCTACTGGAGCGGGAGCTTGATTGGCCTGGGCTGCCTGCAGTCTCTCCGGGGAACTCTGGTTGCGGCGTGCGTTTCGCTCAGGCGACATGGATCGGCTGTGGGACCGCCGACTCTTGTTGTTGCCAAATCGTGGACGTTCATCAGCATTACCACCGATGCGCCGACGTTCAAAGTTTCGCCGGCCATGGTGTCGATTGTCGGTCTGGGAGCCAGACGGGGATTTGTTCCGGAACTGGCGTTGGGTTTTCTCACGTTCGTTCACTCGCCGGTCGCGGGACCTTGAGCGCCGAAAGGCGCGCTCGTTGGAACGCGACCGGGAGCGAGATCGGGACCGCAGAGATGCGCGTCGTCGACGACTTTCGCGTGGCTGGTTTTCCTTGTCAGCATAGCCCGCTGTCAGACCCGCTCCGCCGACTCCTCCTCCTCCTCCAGTCCCGCTGACGCCGCTGCTTCTGCCCGGTGGACTGGCACTGCGCACATGGTGGTGTTGGTAGTTGGAGGCGGACTGTGGATTGTGGGACTCTTTGGTTTTGTGCTGCTGAAAAATGGAGAAATAAGAGAAGGTTCTAGCAGTGAGGGACAAACAAGACTCACATCGAAGGCTGGCTTGGCATCTGTAGAGGCGTGCGAGGCAATGCCGGCATCCTGGCTAATGAAGGCCAGCGCCTCGGCTTCCCTGGCATCGTGGCTGGCCTGCTCCAGCTTGACCTGATTGCTATCTGGGGTTATCACATTGTCTTTAGGTGCCGGTGGCGGGGAGTCGGCGGCCAGCACGGCCTCGATATCGTCCTGGGCCCCATCAATGGCCAGGGCCAGTTCCTGGTCGAGATCCAGCTCAGCGGCGGAGGCACTGGAGGCCGCTATCAGGGGGGCGGCAGGCACCGTCAGGTACTCCTCGCTGGCAATGGCATCGAAGAGTCGCTCCACGAAGCGCGTCGTTTCCTCGGACAGAAAGACATCCAGCTGCTCGATCATGATCCGCTTGAGGTCCTTATCCGATTTGTCCTTCTTGAGCAGCGCGATGACATAGCGCGCCAAGGCCGAAGAGTCTGCATCGCAGCTGTAAGGGGTGATTTTTTAGTTAGAGAACTGGCTTGGTATACCAAAGGAGCAGGCAAGAACTTACAGTGGCTCCAGGACCACACTCAGCCAATCCTTGAGCTTGTCCGAATTCTCCAGTATCATGCTGAGGCGGGTTGTTGCTACTGGTTGGTGTTTTTCTTTTTGGTTGGGGGCTACTTGCGTTGGTCTGGGCTAATCTGGGTGGGGGGTTAATCGTGCTCGGGGGGCACACACGCCCGAAAATGTATTTTTAAGATGACCTCTGCCGCTCAGGCGACGTTTCTACTGGGAATTGGGGCACTGTTGAGTTCCGGTTAACGTGTTTGCTTCTGCTTGATCCTCTGCAATAAGAGATTTCTGCGTTTATTTCACTTTTCGTCGATTTTTTTCCTGCCCTTTCAATTAAATGTCAGCGCTGATCTGCTTCTTCTTCCCGCTCGGCTATCGTCAATAAGAAAGTTTCTCGATTTTGCTACCCGATACTTTTTGCTTGCGTACGAGCACGACGCACACACACAGCCAAACGCACGTACACACACACACGCACACAGACACGCAGGCACTCACATACATACACCCCAGCAGCACCCAGTTTTTTGCGCCCAAATTTAATGGATTTTCTGGTCACTTTTCCCTACGCAAACACTTTTGGCACATACCTCAAGCCTTAAATATAACTTATGAATAATATTTGTACAACAAATCTAAGTTTAAACAGTTATTTTTGTAATTTTCACTGCACTTTTCCTGTTGCAAGGTTGCTTCTTGACGAGTCTAGGCTGCGTACTCGATATATCGGCAGAGTAATCGATAGCCCTGGCGTATGCCCTCGAACCAGTGCTGTCAAGTATCGAGTGCTCAAAGTAGCTTAAAGAAAACCTTAACTATTAATAAAATAATATATATATATTAGTTGAATTCATATATCTACTTTGTATTATTTATTAATTCCATCTTAAATAATTTTAAAGTTTTCTTAAAAAATATTGAAATTTTTGATCTTATTGACAATAATATAGTATTTATAAAATTAAAAACAGTTGTCGAAAACATAAATCGAGTATCATTTTATCTATTACAGGGGTTTGTATTTTTTATTTTTTAAATCTTCAAAATAAAACAATGTTAAATTATGCTAATATATTTACAAGCCAAAAATTGGAGCTTAATATTAGAAAAGGGTTTCAAGCCTACAAATTTTGGAGGCTCTCCCGTATCAAACAAAAACATTTGGCTTGAAAAAGGCTAGATTGTTACGATAGTATTTGGATCGATTCCGTCCCTGGTAATTTCGTTTATCTGTGAAATTCGCTTTTCTCCGATTGGGCGTAAATAATTGCCATGTGCAGCATTGGCGAAGATGATTTTGGTGACGAGGGGGCCGCCCATGCCATGGTGGCGGAATCGCTGCCCTCGGGAATCGTCCTCAGTCCTGGAGATTGCAACAAATGTGGTGTGACTTCAAGCGAACTCTACAAACTGAACTTCCGGACGGCGGAGTGTCGTGACTGCTTCCTAGCATATGCAAGGCACAAGTTCCGGGCTGCTCTGGGCGCAGCCAAGATCCTGCCACGAAACGCCGAGGTGCTCTTGGTGCTTGACGGCTCCGCTGAGTCCTTGGTGCTCCTGGACATGCTACACTTTGCCCAAACGCAAAACACGTTCAAACGACTGCACTGCAATGCACGTGTGGTCTACGTAGACGATCATCAAGTGCTGGGCCGATATCCTGTGGACATGGAGGCAATCAAGACTTTGTCCGACCAATATGCACCCTTTGAGTTTCATGTAATTGAGCTGGGCGCCTTGTCCAGCTCTTTGCAGCGGATCAAGGAGCACAGTCCTTCCCCCAATGAAACCAACGAGCTGGTGGAGAAACTCGAGAGGCTGCGCAGCCTAACAGCTCGTCAGGATTTCCTGCAGCAGCAGCGCAAGAACCTCATTGCCTCGGTGGCAGAGAAGCTGCAATGCAGTCATGTCTTTGAGCCCAGTATAAGTGTGGATTTGGCCACCCAACTCTTGACTGCAATAGCCCTGGGACGTGGTGGCAGTGCCGCCTTGGATGTGGCTCTCCTGGACGATCGGCTGGCGGGCGATGTCAAATTGCTGCGACCCCTTAAAGACCTTAACGAGCAGGAGATTCAATTCTATGTTCACGCCCAGCGATTAAAACCTCTGCTGCAAGGTGGCTCCCGATATGGCCAGGAGCGGGGGCAGACTGCCAGCTTACAGAACCTCACGTCGGCCTTTGTGGCTAACCTGCAGAAGAACTATGCTTCCACCGTGTCCACAGTGTTCAGAACTGGCGACAAAATAGCTGTTAATGCCCATCCAGAGCAGGCAACGTGTGTCCAATGTCAGTCTGCTCTGGATTCCGACCTCTCCGACACTCTGCTGGCCATCGAGTATTCCAGATCCGTGTCAGAGGCCGGCGTAGGTCTGTACAAGAACGGAGATGACCTCGAAGCTTTGGCAAAGCGGCGGCTGGAGGCGCAGGATGGGCTGTGCCACGCCTGCCGAGGCATACAGACAGAGCTCAGAAGCGGTAAATTGTTGTAGTCAATCAGAAAATATATATTTTTTTACAACTATTTCAACTTTTTTAACTACAATTTTGCTAGCGTTGTGTTAACGATCGGCAGCAGTGGCAGATGACCATCGCAGGGCGGGACGTTGGAGGCCAGCACGACCCGGTGGAAATCGTAGACTATATAGCGATTGTATTGTTTGGTCTTTCTATGATGTTCGTTCACCGATCCCGGCAAGATGATGGATTGTGTGCAAGTGCCGGGCTCCTTGGGATACAGTTCATCCCCAGGAAGCACTCCAAACATGCAGTCATCGCAGCGATAGTAAACGGGCTGAACCATTGTGCCTCCTCGTTTGCTCCGTTGGCGGGCAAAGTTAAGAAGCTCCTGCCAGCTCTGCAGATTCATCAGACGCGCGATGTCGTAGAGCAGCATGAAAGGAAGCCAAATGGTGCCGTCCTGGGAGCTTGACCAGGCCTCCTCCGGACTCATCCAATGGGCTGAAGCCACTTCGTGAGGTTCCAAGAGGAGACTCACCTCATTGACCTGCTCATCCAGCGTAGTGACATAGTAAACCGTGTCATATTTACGATTGGCTGTGGCTGCTGTCCTCCAAACGGACCACTCCTGAAGAGACCAAAGGTTGGGAATGACATTGAGGTGCCTGCACAACTCCAGAAACTGTGAGGCATTGTTGTGAACTCTATGTTGCCACTCAGAACGATCGCTTGGCTCTAAAAGCCAAGTTCGAGGATGCCCGGATTTAGAATCCCAATTTTTCAAGCTATCTGGTTTGGTGCAGATCAGAATGCCCACCTCTTCAAAGGTTTCCCTGAGCGCAGTCAGTCGCAATGCGATGTTCCTAGAAAAGTTTTCTCCGCCGGACAGAAATGCAGGTCTGGGAGTATCCTGATTGTGACTCAGCTTTCTCAACTGCTCATCGGTCACTCCAAAGGATTTGATATAAGTGATCCATTCGGGAGATTCATCCTCTCTGGGATCGAAAACGCCGCCAGGAAAAACGCAATGATTTAATGCATAAGAAGTACCCTCAGTTCGCTTGATCAAAAGTAACTTTGGTGAAAGGTAATATAGTTACTTTTATTTCGTAAATAGATAATGAATTACCCACTCTGTAGTCATAATCCTTTAAAGAATCCTCTTTGGCAGCCAATATAAGGCTAGCTGAAGGTCTGTAAGACCCAGCTTGAGTAGCGGCCCCCATAGTTTATAGTCCACTGCCAAAAAAGTCACTGCTCCACTACCACAAACCTTTGATCTTCAGTTTCAAACCAATAAGAACAACTTTGATTAGTAAGTTGAGGGATGCGACTATTGAATACCTAGTTTTTTATAAAAAATATTAATTATATCTATTATAAATCTTGGAATGAAGCTGAATGATTATTAAAGGTTTAATTTGTTTTTTTTTTAAATTTTGTTGATTAACCGTTTCGAATACTTTCCAACAAAATCGATATACCCTTGTATTCAACAGGTAGAGGGTATTTAAAAAGTGTAAACAACAGCTGTCGAGTTGTCGATAATACCGGGAATGCAATCGATATCGTCGTGTTACCTAAACAACGATGTCAAAGCTTTTGCCCAAAATCCGTTCCTCCTCCAGCCTGATCCTGCTGGCCAAGGATTCAAAAGCAAAAGCTGCGAATTCCTTCGACTACAATGTGAGTTTCACTTCATCTTTAAAGTAACCATGATAACATAGTAAATTGTACGTTTAGGCCCTGCTCCTCACGCGAACGCAAAAGTCCAGTTTCATGCCGGATTCTTCGGTGTTTCCGGGTGGAGTTTGCGATGCCACGGACAGTTCGCCCGCCTGGTTGGATCACTTTCGGCGAAACGAAATCAGTGCCGCCAAGCTGAGGGATGTGGGCCACGTGAAGGGCCCACGGCCAAAGATGTTTGAGATCAAGGTGGATAAGGAAGCGTTAGATCCGTATGCAACTAAAATTTTTATCTAACCAAGAATCCTTGTGACTCCGTTTTAAACTTTTTACAGATCCCTGGCCCTGCGTCTAACTGCCATACGCGAGACCTTTGAGGAGCTGGGCATCCTGCTGTGTAGGGATAGCAAATCATTGACCTCCACCAGTGGCTATGCCAAGTTCCATGAGCAGTTCGACCGCGTCCATTGGCAGCACATAGTCCACAATGATGCTAGTCAGTTCTTGGAGCTCTGCAAGAAACTGGAGGTGTTCCCGGACGTGTGGGCACTCCACGAGTGGTCAGCCTGGCGCACGCCGTCCACGTTCAAGAAACGGTTTGAGACTGCCTTCTATATGACCGCCCTGGAGCAGGAACCCAGCGTTCACATCGAACCCAACGAGGTCAAGGATTGTGCGGTAAGTATACATTTTTTGTAAACTTATACCTATAACTATTACCTTGGCATTTATGGGGCTGTATATAATATATGTATATATTTTATAAAAACTCCTATATAAACCTATCTATTCCTGCAGTGGCGCTCCCCATTGGACTACCTTCAAGCGTGCCTGAGAAAGGAGCTCTGGTTGCCGCCTCCTCAATTCTACGAGCTTTCCCGCTGCCTCAACTTCTCCTCCTTGGAAAGTCTTCGACAATTCGCCGCAGAGCGTGAGGTCAAAGGCCTTGGTCTGATTCATCCTGTGATGTACAAGTGCAAAAATGGAACTGTCCACCTCTTGCCCGGAGACGAGGCCTATCCCGCCGATCCGGATGCTAGTAGCGACAAAATAGAGACTGGCTTGACAGTCGAGGAGTTTCGTTCGCAAGGTAATGACAAACTACATAGATCAGAGCACTGGAACCAGCATCAGTCGCAGCTGCTCATTAACTTTGACCGGGAAGATGGTCAAGTACATCCCCTAGACCCTACCAAGCTATAGAGGCGAAATCAGTTTCCTTAATATTATGTGCATTTATCTAGTTTTAAAATTATAACTAAAATGGTTTTTTTTTAATTGGTTTGAAATGTCTTTTTTACTTGATAAACGATTTTTGTTCGATTTGTTATGTACTACTTTGTCAAGAGAAATAGTTAACTATTAGTTGTTCTTTTATTTAATGTTTATATATTTGGGAAAGTTAGAAAGGAGCTACAGAAAATCGTTTGATAAAAGTAAGAAGTCTTAGAAGTTTAATACAATTTTCTAGTGTTTTTTGATAGGAACGAACAGGCTAATCCTGCTGACCTTCACCGTACCAGAGTTTATATAGGTATTCAGCTTCCTCTTCGGTAGCGTATCTGTTTTCGACTTCAGGTTTTTGCTCTGGCCTCGACCTTAAAAGGAGAACGAAGTAATTAAAATAACCGATTCCAAATTTCGTCTTTAAAACTCACTGGTAACCGAGCTTGTGTTCCGGATGGGTCCAGACTTCGTGGGGCTTAGGATTTGGGGGATTTTTGCGCTTCCAGTCCTGCAGTGTCGTTTCAATGCTTTTTTGGTTGTCCAGCAGGACACCAAGTTTGTGATCAATCTGAGAGGTGGCCACCTGCACTCCATGGAAAGTGTTTTCGATGCTATTGAGGCTCTCGGTCTGGGTGCGATTGAGCATGGCTAGACCCCACTCCAGTTGGTTCACCTTGCGATTGGCACGATCCGTCAGGGCCTTCAGTTGCTCCAGGTATCCAACCTGACTAACGATGCTGTGCTGCTGCTGCTGGAGAATCTTAGCCTTGTTGTCCAGCACAATGAGCTTTCCGATGACAGCCTGCCCCAGCACCTGCTGGATCCCAGTTAGATTTGCGTTGACGGATGAGATCACCGAATCCAGATCCTTCTCATATTTGGTCTGGTTGGCAGCCACCTTATCTAGGGCACCTCTGATGTCCAGCTCCACCTTGGTCAGGTTCCTAATGGCCTGTTCATTTTGCCTCTGCGTTGCCCCGACAATGGCCGACAAGTTGGCCACTCCGGAGGCAGATGCCTGGGAGCCACCGATAACTTTTCCCTCCAGTTGGGCTATGGCAAGCTCCAGTCCGGCAATGAGCTCGATCTCATCCCGCTGATGCTTGAACTTCTCCTCGATGCCCTTTTGCACCCTCTTCACTTCCTCCACACCAACGATTAGCTTCTCAGTGCCCTTTAGTAGCTTTATCACATCCCCACGGATTTCGGCAGTGGAATTCTGATCCTCTGCTGAAGCAATACAAAGGTAAATGCAGATCGTTAACAAAATCAGTTTTGTTCTCATGGTGCTTCTCTGTCGAACGTCCACCGCTGTGTGTCTTCTGTCGATCTAAGCCACACCTTAAGTAGCCCAACTTAGGGTCCAAAACGTGTCTCAGACTGGGTCAAGTTCTATCAGTCCAGGAACCACCCACTTGTACTTTAGTGGGTGCAGCTGCAAACGCTTCTCTAATCTGAAAATGTTTATTTCCCCGCAAACAAATCAACTTCTTCGTGTGGCTTAAAAGATATTTGCGAACAAATGTTTGGTCACTATCACTATCTGATGGCTAAAAACAAACCACAAACCAACCATGTTTCATGTTGTTTTACTAAATAATTTTTAGTTCATCGACTTTTTAGCGAACTTAAAGAAAATCCGGAGATTGACACGTCTCAAAATTCTTCTTTGTTTGTAAACTCTTCCCATGGGGTAGAGATCGACCTGGTTTTTTATATGTAAACGGTAGCAACGATACCAACGGAAAACGTGCCCACCTGTTTCTTGTCCAAATTCATTGAGAAAATAGGTCTACATTGGGCTGATAACTGCTATATAGATATATAAATAACTTTTCTTATAGACATCCGATTTCGAAGATGTATATCTTTAAAGTCTTGTGTCTTTAGTCTCTAAAAATCTGCGTTTAAGACTTGGTTTGTAATTTCGGGTCGATTTTTTGTAGTTTTAATGATGTAACCCCTTTCTTAATTTGCGAAAAAATCGTCTGTGCAGAAAAGGGACCAAAAACCTGCAGTTCTAAGTCCATAACTTTGCTTTCAGACATCCGATTTCTAAGTGGTATATCTTTAAAGACTTGTGGCTTAAGTCTCTAAAACTTTGCATTTAAATTTTGTTTTGAAGTTTTGAAATGGTATTATTACGATATAACTCCTTAATCATATTCCGAAAAATATATATCCAGAAAAGTTACCACAAACCTATAGTGTTAATTCTATAACTTTTCTTTTAAGCATTCGATTTCTAAGTGGTATGTCTTTAAAGTCTTGTGGCTTAGTGCTCTAAAAATCTGCATTTAAAACTTGGTTTGTAATTTCGGGTCGATTTTCAGCAATTTTTATGATGAAACCCCTTTCTTAATTTCCGAAACAATAGTCTTTGCAAAAAGTGACCAAAAACCTGGAGTTCTAAATCCATAACTTTTCTTTCCGGCATCCGATATCAATGAGGTATATCTTTAAAGACTTGTGGCTTAAGTCTCTAAAACTTTGCATTTAAATTTTGTTTTGAAGTTTTGAAATGGTATTATTACGATATAACTCCTTAATCATATTCCGAAAAATATATATCCAGAAAAGTTACCACAAACCTATAGTGTTAATTCTATAACTTTTCTTTTAAGCATCCGATTTCTAAGTGGTATATCTTTAAAGTCTTGTGGCTTAGTGCTCTTAAAATCTGCATTTAAAACTTGACTTGTAATTTCTAGTCGATTTTTTGGAATTGTTATGATGTAACCTTTTTCTTAATTTCTGAAAAATGACTGGCAGAAAATTGGCCAGAAAGCTGCAGCTATAATTTTATAACTTTTCTCATAGATATCCCATTCTGAAGTTTGTATATCTTCAAAGTCTTGTGTCTTAAGTCTCTAAAAATCTGCATTTAAAAATTGATTTGTAATTTCGGGACGATTGAAATTTTTATTATAAATCGATTTACCTTAGAAATAATATTTATTAATTTTTATAAAGTTGAATAAAATAGTGATTACAATTTTCTATGAATGTGTTTCTAAAAGATTAATCGGGTTCGGTTTCTATACCAGCATCAGTATCCTTGGGGCAGTGAACCGTCTCCGTACCAAATCCCGTAAGATTCTCCTTGCTGAATGGGTTCGGGTTGCTTATAGGATTGCTCCTGGTAAGATTGTGGCTTGAAGGATTGCTCATGGAATGGTTGAGGATTGTGTGATTGCTGTTGGTTAGGTTGCGGTTTTTGCTCGGATTTGTGCTGGGATTGCTGGTGGCTAGGTTCGGGATGGAATTCTACAGGAGGCATAGGAGCAGAGTGTCCTCCCCTGGGATATGGCTTTGGCTTGGGCTTGGAGGTGGGTCCATAGGCAGGCGCTGGCTTCCAATGCTGGTGATGGGGAACTGTAGCGGATTGGTATGGAGAGGCAGTCTCCCAGGGCAGTGACTCCCGCCAGGACACGGCACTGGAGCTCTGATGGTTATGCATGGGCTCCGGAGCCTGAGTCTGGTGAGGCTCCTGAGCTTTAACTCCATAGCTGGGCCCATGCCCATGGGGCTCATCATGGTGGCCGTATTGTTGATGGGGCGAGTGCCGGCTGCACTGATCCAAATCCAGTTCGATGCGCTTCTGGGAGATGATCAGTTCACGCAGGGCTGCCTCCAGTTTCCAGGGGTTAAGTGGCTGCGAATGCTGCACTGCACCGATCAGTGTGTCCAGGCGCAGTTCCTGGGTTCGATTAAGCTGCTTCAACTGCTGCTCCAGCACGTTTAGTTTGCGATTAGAGTCCTCGCTGAGCTCTTTGACTCCGGCCAAATTCTTTAGCTCCACCTCCCCGTTGATCTGGGATGTTTCCAGGCTGTCGAAGGAGCATTTAAGGCCATTGATCTGGGGCAGCACCGTCCTGGTGATCAGCTTGGCCAGTCCATCGATGCTCCTGTCAATGCTGCGGGAACTTTGCAGCGCATGCTTTTGGTAGGCATCCAATTTGGCTTCCAACACATTGAGGAACTGCTTGGTGGCCTCTTGCAGGCGGGCCAGTTCCAGGAGCTGCGCATCTGTGTGATGACCATACTCTTCGCCCTGCTTGGAGATGTTCAACAAGGTGGCCACCAGATTCTGCGAACTCGCCTCCAGGGCGATTGTCAGTTTAGCCAGCAGACCATCCACGAGGGCCAAGGCTTTGAGAGCCTCCTTTTGCTGTGCCAAGCCAGCCTGTGCCTCCTCGCCGACTACTGCAATCCTGTCCAGAAGCACATTGGCCGCCTGCAAGCCCTTGGAATTATCCTTCAGGAGATCAGAGATGCTCTCCTCCTTCTGCGCTTGGTTACCGCCGAAGCACAAGCCCAGAAACAAGATCGTGATGAAAACTTTCATTTCAACAGCAAGATGCTTTCGAGTGGAAACACCAAGTGCAAGTGTCTTGGGTTGACCATGGGCAGCGGTTAAATATGTTTGCGAACACGTGTGGGAGCAGCTAATCTATTTGGGTTTTGTGTTCTTCTAGTCAAGCATGCCCCAGTTCTTAATTTGTGGCTTAATCTGGCCAAAAGGAAAAAGCTTGAATTTGGCACGAATTCAAATTACAAACATTCGACGCGCCAAGAAGCGGATATCGATCATTTCCTGGAGGAGCCGCTATCGTTATCGATAGGCACAGGGAAATCAGCTGATTGGAGGGTGCAAAACAACAACACTTCCTAGACCAGGAGTCGTTATTGCTATCGATAGGCCCAAGGCAATCAGCTGATTGGAGGGAGAAAAGCAACAATTTGATTTGAGTGGACTTAAATACTTAATCTAAGTATTAATTGAAATAAAAGAAGACATGAGCCAAACTGCTTCTCCGCCCAAGTGGCGCACCTCGGCCAGTGTGATTCTGGTGACGCGAGATGCCGTCAAAAGTGAGGATTACAAGGTGAGTTAAGGGATCTTCATCAGAAATGGCAATCAAATCTAATTTTCCTTGATGTTTCAGTTACTGATGCTCAAACGCAGTGATGACACGGCCATGATGGTCAACCAGACAGTGTTTCCAGGTGGACTACTAGATCCCGCGGCCGATGAGAGCGTGGCCTGGCTGCAGTACCTCGAGGAGTTTGGTGTCCCGCAGGAGGCACTGCGTCGCCTGGTCCTCATCCGCGATGACCGGCCTGCCATCCTGGCGCCCCAGGGCACCGGCTGCTATGATCGGTTCTTCAAGCGCTCCAGCATTTGGTCGCGGTGAGTCCAAAGTTTGTGGTTGCCACCTCGCCCAGATTAGGAGTTTAATCTTTGACCTTTGTCTTCTCAGGGAGATTACACTGCGACTCACCGCCGTGAGAGAGTGCTTTGAGGAGGTGGGACTGCTGCTTTGCCGCAGCCGGAGTCAGCTAGACTTCGGTGCAGTCATCTGTGTCCAGGATGTGCCAGATCTGGAGGCGTGGCAACGACGGGTTCACGAAAAACCCAGTGAGTTCCTGAACCTCTGCCGGGAGCTAAAGGTGGTGCCAGACTTGTGGGCCCTGCACGAGTGGTCCGCCTGGGCGAGTCCGGGATTCATGCGCAAGGGGTAGGTATCAGAGTGAGAATTAAAATACCTTTAAAAAATATTAGCTCGCTTAAAGTATAATTATATATCAGAGCTATTTCCTTGTCAAACATAATCTAATAGTAGGCTTAATTGGAAATAATATTCAAATAATTAGTTTCTATCATAACCATAAATAGTCAATTGTTTAATTTAATTAATTTGTTTGGTTATAGTTATCTTTAAATCATATTTGTAAGTACAGTTTATTTTTAAAATGTCCTTAGCTACGAAACGGTTTTCTTCATGGCTTTTGTAGACAAACAGCCCAAACTTGTGGAGGAACCTTCCGAGGTTAAGGAGACGCTGGTGAGTCTTACTTTCCCATTAGGACATTAAAATAATATTGTATTCATTTTACTAGTGGCTGACACCGAAAGAACTGCTGAAACTGGCCGATCTCGGTGAAGTTTGGTTTTTGCCCCCACAAGTTTACGAACTGTCGCGCCTAATGGGAATCAAGGAGTACCAGAGCTTGCTGGACTTTGCCGTACAACGCAGCGGATTGGGGACCACTATGTACTTGCCAGTAGGCTATGACTGCCAGGGATCTATGGTTTTTGTTCTGCCAGGTATGTCACAGGATTATTTAATTATTATATGTCGGGATATTTAATAAACTCTGTCTTTAGGTGATGATTTCTATGTGCCAGACTCGCACCTCGTCAACAAAATCATCAGTTTTCCTGGATCAGAAGAAGAGTTTCGAGCCCGTTCAAAGCATTTGCATCGCTATACCTATGGACCATCAATTCGGAACATGGAGTTGAATATTCCTCCACCCAATGGACACTTAAAACCGCTGAAATTTCATCAGGAGCGCCAAAAGCTGTAATCACATTCCGTAGCCGGCCGGCCATCGACGCGAGTGGTGACCTCGGCTGGTAAGCTCTGATAAGATGCTAAGTGTTACCCCTGAAATGGGACAGTCACAGATTGTTGTTTTGAAATTATTCTAAGCGGCTTTAGCCGGCCATCAAATTATGAAAAACGCTTTCCCCAAAAGACATTAATTATTATTTTAAGAGAGAAATTTTAATTAAAAAATGTACAGTTTAAGTTAAAGTTGGTCGTAACTAAGCTTAAGATGAAGAGGTGCCCCTTTTTTGCGTTATGCCTTTTTGATGGTTAGCACATCAAAAGCGCAATCCCATGCATATTCATGTCCTCCCCTTGAAACCGCAAATCAGAGTGGAAATGGGCTTGGCACAGAAAGAGGGGGAGGACCACAAGCTCAGACAGTATATAATTTCATCCCATTAGAAATGCATTTAAATCACTTTGTGAGCTGAGATCCCCACCCACTCCCCAGGAATGTTCAACGCCACCTGCCGTGTGACTTTGTGCGCTTTACAGCCTTGTCTTTTCAATCCCAACCACAGTCTGCAATTCCACCACCCGATGGGTCGTTTAAAAATCAAAATCTCAACGAGCTTCGTTTCCCCACTTTTGTTTGCTCCGTGCCCGCTCGACTGTTTATTATGCATTGTAAAGGACCCAGTCAGGACAACCCTCCTCAGGGATTGCCAAACGGCGAGAGGGGGTCGATTTTCGACGGCTGAGGCTGTGTAACAATTACTTCGTTTAATTTAACCTTTTGTGGCTGGCTTCCGGCGTTTATTGTTCCGCTGCTGTTCATTTAATATCGATTAATTATGCTATTATGTGGCCCAGCGGAAGTAACCATTATGGAGTGTAATTAATAGAGTACTCCCCATGTATCATGATAGAGCAACGAGTACTCCCACGCATCAGGAGTAGAGGTGTGATAGCAGAGTTGTCGGAAAATGCTTTTCAAGGAAGGGAAATACATCAAATTGTACTTTTATAATTTTAAAAATTTTATTATGTCTTAGAACTTTTTAGGGTTTTCAAATAGAGATAAAAAATGGCAAAAGTTTGGCACACTAACTAAAGTGAAATATTTGATTTGAGCAATAAAAATATTCATATCCAACGAGACAGTGTCTTATTTAATATTTATATTTTTTATAAATTAACTTTTCCCAAAGGCTTTATTTTAAATAATTTATAGGCATCACTGTTCCAAACTGACTTTCTAATTAACAGACATCGCAGGCGGGAAGGTCGACAAATCCGCCCATAAATTACACATTAAATTTAAATGCATAATGTGACAAAGTGTCCGGGTGAGTTATGAGCAGCAAAGCCGCTTAGCATTTACTAAGACGTTTCGGGACCCGGGTAAATTAGCATCTCAGGACCAAACAGCCAGGACTCTTGATTTATGCCGGAATGAGGTCGAGGACTTACGAAAGCGAAGAAGACAAGGCCTGTAATTGAATTTAGAGCTCATTTTCATTGCCCCCACGACATAATGCTGATTTACGTGGCCGCCGATTGGATGGAATTTGGAATTGGCTTGCTTATTAATTGCCTCGAAAGGTGGAAATGCATATCACGTACTTTTCTCGGCATGCCTTCTGCGAAAGCGCCCAATTAGAGCGATTATACGAGGTTGTCCCGGTCACCTGGCGGTGACATGAATGCCAAAACAGAATTTGGCCAGATCGATTCGCAAGTAATTGACAACTTCTCGCCCGGACTTCCCACGGGTGTAACAAAACACACACTTGTTCCGGAGAGATTTATTTTTATTGTGAGCATTGTTTGCACTCAACTCGACTTGAGTCGGTTTTGAATACCCTGTAATGGGGTTGCTGGGTATGTTGTACCCTAGGTAAAATACGTTTTTTCAGCCTTACTTGGAAAAGTATTCCAGATCTATAAAGATTTTAATTTCAGTTGGATGCAAAATTTTATATTTTATTTTTATTTATAATATATAGAGTTTTCAAAGAGTTTGAAAGACTAAGCTTTTGCTAACACTTTTTTACACTTTCTTTATAAATTCGGCCATAAGTACTTATTAAAAAAACGTAGTTGTTATACAGTTTGAATTGGGTTTAACGTCTGTCATGTTTATCATAGCCTTAAGTTATAAAATTGTGTTCACTTTTGTAACATCTTTACTTTAATACAAAACTTAAACACATTTATATTTTTTAATCAAGAAATTATCCATATTCGACCTCTTCTAAGGGTTGCTTTTAGCCAAAGGTAACCAATTCCAAAAAATTCTCAAGAGTACTGGGTATTTCGTAGTTCGTCCTCCTTCCATTCATCTTCATTTTTTTCTTCACCCCTCGGGGCAGGTCCGCTAAATGAGTATTACCGCAATAAATCGCCGCAATTCATTTAAGGGCGAACCGGCTGGCTGGCAACCCTTAAATCACCAGCAGAAGCTGCTAACTGTTGATGAGAGTCGGTCGGTCGGTTTCACCCCCTCTCGCCCATTTTATGGAGCCCCTGCACCCCCGCAGGGCACCACCCACTATTCGTCAGACCGTGAACCTGTTACGGCATGTCAGATTGTCACTGGGGAAATTGCCCCTGGCCCGGAGGAACGCTCTCCGGCTGGTCGGACAAATTGCATCAATTGACTTGCGTGTTCAACATAATGGCAATTGCGGCTGCCTCCCGGAGTGGAATGGGTGCGGCTGGGGTCCTGGAGAATCACACATGGAGTCTGGGGTGTGGCGACGACAGTTCGACTAATGCACTACATGATCTTCTAATGATGTCTTTATTTTGCTCTCACACTTTCGTATGTAGGTATTTTATTCAAAGGGATAGTTCATTAAGAAATTCTAAAAGAATAACTCTAATGATTTTACAAAGCAAAAATGCAGTCATTTACAATAAATATTTAAACTTAGAGTTGAATGTACAAAAAAGTATAGCCAGCGTCTTAAATATTATCCAAGATTAAATTATTTACAAAACTTAAAAAGTTGACCTAAACAATTAAGCTAATGAGGATTGATATGATAAATTCAGTAAAACCCTTAACCTTAATCGTAGAATTGAAATTGTAATTTATTCTTACGTTAGTGTAAGACAACAGTGTTTGTAAATGTCGATCAAGCAAATATATTTTGTTTTACTTAACTAGCTGAAAACTGTTACAGACATAACTCATCCGCCATGTATGCCATGTGTCAAGTCTTTGTTTTTCAACTTTATTTTTGCATTTAGCTATAGTTCTTTAAAATTTATAAAAATAAAATGATCTTACGATATTTTAAAATTTTATATTAGCTCCCAAGCTAAAACAAAGTAAAGTGGTTAGTATACATGATTGTACTTAGAATGCACTTATCATAGCTTTATTTATAAAGTCAGAACTAATTTTCCAGACAGATAATTGTCTTGAAACCTATAGTAAACTTAATGTGCAAACTTTTTAATAATTTGTTGACATAAGGTGGCTGGAATTCATCACAATTAGCACTGTAAATACATGGGAACATATGCACAAACCTCTTTATGTGCAAAGGTAGGTAAATGAAAAGACGTTTATGTAGGTACTTTTGTATTTATTTAACATTTCAGCAAAGATAATTGAAAAGCACCTGCACACACACATACAGCCCTAACTCTGCACACACACATACATGCGCAGAGTGGGCGTGGGCGTTGCTGGTAAAATATGAATTATGCGCTTGCTCCAATAGGTTTGTTGTTGTTACCGTTAATTTCTATTTAGTCCTTGCTCTCTCTCTGTCTCTCACCTATAAAACTTTACTCTCTCTCTCTCTCTCTCTCTCTTTTGCAGAGTTCACACCTAAACAACAGCCACCATTACAAAAGGCACACATACACAGATACGTGTATTGTGGGGAGGGGATTCTCCTCCTTTTTGGAGGACACTACGTAATTTATTTTCCAGTCTCGGACCTGCGCAAAGATCCCGCTGGAAAATTAAGCTTTTCCTGGTGTTGCAGTTCTGGTTTTTGTTGTTTTTGCCTGCATTGGGGTAGGTGTATGGCATTATGTTGTCACCGATTTCAATTGCAATTCACATACATATATATGCAGACATGTATATGTATATATTGGTATACTATATAGCGTTGCATTTCGGTACATGTGCAAAATTAGCAATTTTGTTAGCGGCGCCACTTTTTGCATTTTTCTGTTATCTGTGCAAAAAAAACCAGTGACCTTGTAACATTGTTTTAATTGCAATTGGCAATGCACTGCACATCGAGTGAATACACATTCAAATTCCCTCAACTTCAAAGAAAAGTTTCTCCTTTGACTTATCGCTCCACCCAATAAACTTTACCAGCTGTCGAACAATTGACCAATAGATTAAACGAAACTCCAGCAAAGAAACCCCAACGACCCTTATCGAAATCGCAGCCACCGTCTCATATTTCCATTCCGGAAGTCAGTCCATTTAAGAAACCATAAATTTGACGGCAATAACGGATAAAGTATGTTTATTTGGATATTAGGCTAAGCAGAAACGGCGAAACGAAAGGGGGATCATAAAAGGGGTAGTAAGAACGAAAAGAAATTGCGACACCAGACAAGACCAAACGAGATGAAGATGTCTCTCAAAAAACTCTTTAACACTTGACTTAACCCGGAAGCGGACAGTGCCAGTCATAGCTCTAAGTTTAGTTTTTTTTTAAATATTTGCACTGCAGTGACATATGTTAATTGCTTCATTACTTATTTAAATTGGGTGAGTAATAAAGGAACTGGAAAAGTTAATTTTATAAATATGTTTTACCTTATTTATTAATTACCACAACCTTAAAACAATTTTTGATCAACTTATTCAAAATATCTTATTAACTGATCAATTATTTTTATTAAAGCCAAACTACATTTTTCTATGGAAATTCTGTAAGCAGAATTAAAGCTTTGGATTACAGAAGAATAACCCAACAGAACTGTGAACCATGCTCCATATTTATTTATTTTTAATCCTAAAAATATTTGTTTGTAGTCTTTGCTTACGAATTCCATCAAACCACAATTTAGATGTAATCTCAAAAACTAAAAGAACTAGCGGTACGAACATATCCCAGCGTATCGCACTGTTTTCCCCCATGCAAAATCAAAATTTTCAGTAGGGGAGGGTGGTTATCTGTGTGCTTGGCATATAAATATGAATTGTAATAGATTTAGATATGAATCAGACATATGTACGGATAGATGGTAACCGAGGGACCTCCAACAAAGGTCTGGCCAAGTGAAAGGAACAGTCCCAGCGTGAAAGCCAAAGAAAATTTGATTGAAGATATCGCTTCTTTGAGGCACTCGAAAGAAAATTACAAAAATATTCTGTAAAATGACACAAAGAGAAATATTAATTTTCCATTTGCTGGTGAATGAGGATAATACAATTTTAAGCCAAATGAGTTAGCCGCTTCAGTGGAAAGTCTCACACAGAAAACGACTACGGCGAAAAGTTTAAAGTTTCGCCCGGTGGAAAAATGTTGAAAAATTCTTCAGCAGATTGAGCGTATCAAATTCGACACCCACCGACATTTTTGGGGTCTCCTTTGCCCTTTTTTTGTTCGCTGTTATAAATTATATGGCACTTGCCACGTGTCGCTGATTTGTACGGGCAAAGTGTGAAATATTCCGGAAAGGACTCTATAATACGGCTTTTCCCTATTTTCCCTCCCCTCCAATCGTCAATCTGTCGAAGCGTGAAATATTTTTCGCTCCTTCACTTGGCAGCAAAAATATTTAATTCGTGCGGAAATTCAACCAATTTAAAAGACGAACACACACGACCAGTAAGGGCACGCCCCCTTTTCTCGATTCTGACTTCATTGTATCCTTTTTCCAGCTTGCAGGAAAGCGCGAGCTGCTTAATCCGTTTTATTGTGGTAATAAAACTACGATACAAATTGTTTGAATGAGATTGAACAACATTTGAATTGAGCATGAAATGATGCCGGTTGTTTGACTGCTGTGCTGCTGGTTCTTTCTACATCGACTGCTCCAATGAATCCGAGTCGATATTTATGGATTTCTTGTGGCTCATTTTGGGGGTACATTTGGAAAAGATGTTAAAGTATTGTCCTCAATTGCTCTTAAAATTGTTTGCCCTTGGATTGGGACTGAAGTCCTTAATTTTAAAGCGGCTCTTTTAAATGTCTTGCAAATGTTATTTGATTTAAAGACATTATATGGAGTAAAAGCGATGAAAAGCAATGTAGTTTTGGTTCTTTTATTTTGCAAACCAAAATATGTATTTAATCAATAAGAAAAGAAAGTTTCGCTAAACTTAAATAACCCTTAAAAAGGCATTAATTTAAGTTTTGATTTTTATTACGGTTTCATCTGTGTCAGCTCCCATAAGTATGCTAGAAAATAAACTTAATAAAATCCCAGTTTAAACATGTCGGTCAAATATTTAACCTCGATCCATTGTTGCAGATCTTTGCCATGCATAAACAATACATAAAACTAGACTTTTAATTACCCGGAGTCAGGAGATTAATATGCAAATATGGGCTACATTGTGGACACCATTAAAGGGTTTAGACCTAATAAAAATCCCGGAAGAAACAAGGTCACACAGGAAGCCATGTGGGTGACGGGATCTGGTCAATGGGGTTTTAATCTTCATGTTTATGGCTATTTGCGTTTTGACCTCCGCCATGGCGACACCATCCGAGAGATAAGCCATAATTTGATTAAGCCAGGGGGCCATCTTTCCACACACATAACACTTGCACCCCTTTTGTGTTAAGTGAATAAAAATATGTAAAAGCATAATTCAAACAAGGTCCACAAAGGGATTCGGTTTGGACTTAGGGCTCCGGCTCCCATGGCCGTAAAACCCTGGGCATAAACTGCGGTCAGCTTGACCAGGCATGTGTGAGCGGTCTTGTTTAACCAACGATTATGGAAATTGTGCCGGAGACCACAGCTTCCAAGAGCGCAGAGCGGTGGCGGAAGATTTGCTTGACCAGATAGCACGAATGACACGTAGCCGGGGCTGGACACCAGAAAGGACACCAGGAAGGACACCACAAAGGACCCGCATAAAGGGCGGACACCCTCTAAAAAATATTTGTTCACACATGTGGGCGGTAAAAGGGCAGGGGGGGCGGTGGGTGGCGAAAGCAACCTTCACTGCAGTCACGTGTGACTCGCTTCTACAAATTCTTTTTCTTGTTTTTTGTGTGTTGCCCTTCCCCAAAACACATAAATTGCATTTTCCGGGAGATGTTCGTACACTGAAAATGTACATCTGACCAAAATGCATTAAATTTATTTAGAAAATAATTCCTAAACCGAAATATATGTTTAGCTAAACAATAGGCAATTTAAATAAAAAAATTATAAATGAGAAGCATAAGTTATATATACATTAAAAATCAAAGGTAGCAAACTAAAGAATACAATCTTAATTTAATATTTAATTTTTTAGTTAGCACCAAACAGCAGAATTCTTGTTGTTTTTTTCTTAACTATATTTTTTCTAGGCATGCTAAAGTATTTTAGTAGCACATTGATTTTAACAAAACAAATTTCAAATTACTAAAAACCGAAAGAATTTTTTTTGAATTCATATTGTAATTTTTCTGAGTGGACCTGTGTCTGCTTTTCCAGTTCCCTCAGCGCTATTTAAACTAAATCAAGTCCCTGTATATATCAGCATCAAATTGGCAAGCCAAAGTCGAGTCGAGACTCGAACGGATGAAACATAAAAATAATCATAAACGTTTATCACATGACCAACGGACAAGCGTAAAGGATAAGAAAAGGAGGCGGGGGTTGTGGAAAAGGAGAGATTTGATGAAAAGGATAGCGACAATTCGAGTCCAAAAGCAGAAACAGGAATGGAAGGCTATACGTGATGTTTGGTCGCCATGAGTTAAGGATTCAATGTGGGTCACTTCCTTGGCAGGTTCGCCTTAAAACTGATTGGGAAGTATGAAACTCATAATTTAATTCGGCATGCTTAGAGTGATTATAGATTTCCTATTCACTTTACACATTTCTCACATTTTCATGTTCCGATAGCATAAATCTTCATGTTTTGCATTATCTTGATGTCTTTAACTTGAAACTTAAAATGTTGATTTTTTATTAAAGAATCATCATCACTCATACCTTTTCCTTTTTTTCTTTTGCCAGCAATGAAGCAAGGATTTTAAACTAATATGTTTCAAATGAATAATAATTTGAAAGTCAGCAAACAAAATTAAGTGAAATTCAAAATATTAGTTAATGCTAGGAAATATATATATAATTCACTGCTTTCTTATTTAGTCCTGTTTTACTTTTACTTACAAAGATTAAATAATACTGTGTCTATTAGACCTTGTTTGCGTTAGATTCAAAATTGTGTGCCCAAAGGCTCATCAGCCACCAACCGCCAACCACCCGAAAATGTGCAATTTGAAAACCCGAAATTGCACTTAAGTGATTTTAAACTGGCAACTTCCGCTTTGCATTCGCCATCGAGACATTGGCAGTCAGCACATCATCATCATACTCATACTCATACTACACATATGTATGTGCACATGTGGCTTTCAAAAAGGGTGTATGTCAACATTGTTGGCGAAACAATGAGCACTTAACAAGCCAACAGAAGCAACAGTGATTTCACCTTTTCACACACGAAGACCAATCTGAGTGGTGAAACATTCATGTGAGAAGTCACCTTTGGCCGGCAACCAAATTTGGCCCGAAACCAAAATGGACCAGAGCCCGAACCACCAAGCTACAAAGGAAATGAGGGTCATTACGCTGCCCAGTTCTGGGTTCTCGGCTTATCGATGGTTTCGACATTGTTGTTCCTGCTCGATGTGTGCTAATCTCTTAATGCGTTTAGCGCACATTTCTATTTGCTTAATGAATTGTTACCGAATACATTCATGGCGAGTTGCCGACTTACTGCTATTCATTTATTCACTGCGCCGGGTCATTTGTCGACGTTTGTCTTTTGATTTAGAACGGTATCGGTTTGGTTTTGGTTTTGGGTTTGGGTTTGGGCTTCGATTTGGGTTTGGGATTGACTTTAGGGCGGTATTGAAGGGGGAGAAGTTGGCCATTGGAGCAGCTCAATTAGGTTGATTGCTGAGCGTGCAGCGCGGTCATGGTCAAGTTCTCCAACTGTGAATAATGTACATAAAATACTACACAAACAAATAAATTGTTGTTATAAAAGGCTGCACTAAATAAATAAATTAAAAATATTTCGGTCAAATAATTTGTAGCTTTAACATTTTGTAAAAAAAGCCTTGATTTTGAAGATTGCATTAAATAATGTACAAATAATAAGCATCGGTATATAAAATAATCGTTTTCCATTAATCGAGATTATTTCTCGGAATTTGTTTATATTATATATTAGTGTTATATCAAATTTCGTTGATTTAAATACTGTGATATTTGACAGGTGATAAGAAAAATTGAACGAGACTTACGCTAAAAGCCCCACAACGATTGCTCAATTTGTTTCAGTTCTCGGTTGCCTAAGATTCAGCTCAGTTCGTTTTTTTAACAATGAAAAAATTAGTTGCGATCTCTTGTTTCTTTATTTTGTTGCACACTTCTCAATCGGTAAGTACAATTCAAAAAAAAATATTTTTAAAGTTGCAATGAATTTGCAACGAATTTTTTTTTTTCTTATTTTATCTTTTGGTTTCTGTTAACATCATTGTGTAAACTAATGTAATCGAATACTTTTTGCAAGCACCCCATTCATTTATCTCTTCTTTTTCGTAGGTGTCACAAGAAGATTTTGAACTATTCAAAAATAATGTGGATGCCAAAATGGAAAAAATATTAACCGAGCTGGACAAATTAAAAGAAAGGATACACTGGACCATTCCTGGTTCTCCAGGCTTGAACGGAATGAATGGAAAGGATGGCATTCCAGGCTCTATCGGTCCTAGAGGTCCAATGGGCAATAATGGCTTAAATGGACAAAATGGCTCTCCTGGTCCCATCGGCCCTCCCGGTCCCCCCTGCACTTCTGGTCCTTTAGGAGAAATAGTTTATACTCCCGGACCTAAGGGAGAGCCTGGAAAGCCAGGGGTTCGTGGCCTTGCTGGACCCCCAGGACTCCCAGGCGAAACAGGAAAGCCTGGACATACAGGGCTTCCTGGCGCTAATGGACTCCCAGGAGGCCCAGGACTTCCAGGCCAAAAAGGAGAGCGTGGATATACAGGGGTTAATGGCCTTGTTGGACGAACAGGACTCCCAGGCCAAAAAGGAGAGCCTGGTGGGATTATTCAGGTTCCTGCTGGTCCAAAGTGAATCGGCGAAGAATCAGGCTCTCAAACAGGATCCAACGGCAGAAGAGAGCCTACCTTCGTAGAAGTCTTTTAAAATTATTATTCAAATTACAGCATATTATTTGCAGAGACAATGTTTTAAACAACACTTTGGGAAACCAAAATAAGATCATTACTTCATTACTCCCAAGCTGGAGTATGTCCAAGGCGAAAAGCGATTTCCATTTCAAGATCACGCGCCACTAAACAAAACAAGCCAAAAATCGAAATCCGCAAGTGACTTACTTTCCTCCGCTGACTGTGTGTAGCTTTTAACAGCAGCCGCCACCGCTTTCCATCCATTTATAAACAATAATTTTATTACCCCGGTCGGAATGGTGGTGGGGGGGGTGGATGTGAGCGATATGCGGCGATTGGATACGGCATAAATTACAATCAAAATGAATTGATATGCGTGTTAATAAAGGGGAGCCGGGTACAAGGAGCGAGGCAGACAGGACATAACCAGCGACAGAAGCAGAAACAGGAAGTAGTCATCCTGGCAGCATTTCGATTTAACGCTTTTATGATTTCCCGATTTTCAAAGGGCCAAAGGACACGGAGGACACAGGGGAAACTGTGTGCGTCTGAGTCTGCGGGTCTCTTAATTAATAAGCCTGGTCCTGGCCCCAGAAGTTGTGTATGTTTGTTGGCTAAATATTTGCCATGGCATAAATTAAAGTGTAATTCAATATTAATTAAATCATCAAATTGCATTTACAGCCGTCGACGACAACAATAAATAAATTAAGCGGCGAAATGACGGAATGCTGATCCCTGCAATTGATTCAATTTTTTTTTTATTCTTCCTCGACATTATCGCAAATTCAGCACTTTAATTTTTGCGCAAAAGTTTTTTGTTTCAATCAGTTTTTTTTTTTCTTTTAAGTTGCTTGCTCTGATAACAATATGTTGGCGAAAAACGCAAATTGATTTATTAAAAAAATATATATAAATTGTTTTGTAACCTCATTATGAGCGCAAGTTGCGCGTGCAATTTGTTGCAGTCTTTTGGCAGAGAAAGAGCTCGACTTGAAATCGCTATTTCGCTAGAGCAATCATTTTTTTCACGATTGTTGTTATTTTTGTTTAGTTTTCTTTTTTTTTTTTTGTTTAGTTTTTCGCCTGGGGTTCATCGACCGACAGTGTCGACCTCAAAGTGCTGACACGAGCTCATTGAAAGACCCCTTCCCCCCAAACGCCTCGTGTTGCAATCTCCGGTATTTTTTTATTTCGCATTTATTTCCTATCAGCAATAAACGATGAAAGTCTGAGGTGATATTTTTTCGTGAGTAAATTAGTCTCAGGGAAATCTAGAAGCTGTCACGGATGATCTATCAATGATTAATAGTAATCGCGGCGGGATCATACTTCAATTGAATTTTGTTACAATTCATGGCTGCAGTTAATCACGCACTCATATTCTATAAACAGACTTTAATCCTTTGTTTTGGCACACTTTTTTGGAGTATGGTTCCTTATTTAAGCATTAACATTACACATAAATATTATTAACTGTGAGATAATATTTGGTGATAAGACATCCCGATAAATAAATCAAATACTAAACCATATATTGAGTATTCATCAAAAATTATGTGAGCAAATGAAGACCTACACACGATATCAAAATATTCCCCACTCGAATTCTGAACCCTGATTGATGATCACAAAGCTCTAATTGCACTTGTCGGAGTTGTGCAATGTCTTGGGGTCTCACTTATTCTTTTAAATATTTATATAGCAATCGGAACGTGAGGAAAGCCGTTGTTTATGTTCCCACGGTGGTTGTACACTTTTCGAGGTAACTGAGAGTCTACAAATAATCAGAAAATTATTTTAAGAACGTTGAATGCATGTCTAGGTTTGGAAAAAAAAAGCATTTAGAAAAAATAAAACTTTTGTCTAGAATTCTAAATATTTTTTGGTTAACCTGAAACATTTTCGTTGATACTTTTCCAAGAAAACTCATTATGAGACGATCTAGACTCAAAACATTCTTATCAACGAAACTTTGGGTTATCCGCAACATTCCGTTCTAGATTCCTGGAACCTCATTGTCATTATATTATACATGGCTCTTGCATAGAATAAATATGCATATCCGATCTTAAGCCATGTACAAGTGTACTCATTACTCATCTAGCTTTTAGCGATTGCAATGTTTTGTTTGTCTCTTTGCATAAGCCACTCAAAAAATCAAAACAAAAAAAAAGAACAACAATATAAAACTGCCGAGTTGGCGGAAAGAAAACACCCAGCTCGGAGCGTAGTAAAAACAATAATCCAAAAAGAATATAATACAACGAAATGAAAAGCGAAAAGAGCAACAAAATAAATGGAGGCAAAAACAATTTGGATGCACCTGTGTCGCCAGCACTACCTGGTTCTTGCTTCTCGGATCTAGATTGAGGCTTTGGCGGCGACGGCGGGGCATTCGCCAACTGGTTCAACCTTCTGCTAAAGCCAACGCTCGTCGAAGGTTGCCCCAGAATAGTTTCGCCCATCAGCCATCACCCAACGCCCATTGCCCATCGCCCATCTCCCAACATAAAACCCAACCCAAAAGCCACCAAAACCATCCGAACAGTGGACATCGCAGCTCGCTTTTTTTGGGGCCAAAATCAAATTCAACCAATTTGTAATGGCCCGGAGTCGAAGGCGAAGGCAAATGTCTTCATATGCTTTATGCTACGGCTTGGTCCTCCTCCACTTTTCCTCCTTTTATGGGCCACAGCCAATGAACCGGAGAGACATCATGCAGGGGCCCACACACATGGACGCACACCAAGCGCCCTAAAAAACCAGAGATTATGTATGCATAAATTATGCCGAAGCTTCAAGTTCTCTTTCTATATTAAATTATAGCATTGTATATAAATATATATATATATATATATAGCATAAAAATCTTTTATCCTGAGATTAAATATTTATTCTTTATTAACAATTAAACCATTACTGATTAAATTGACAAAAATATTACATTAAAAACTGCTTACCTTTTTAGTTAAATATCTTAACAAGACGTTTCTAACCAAAAAATCTTTATATTATAACTATATTTTCCCCTTGTTTGTTATTTTGTAATACATAGAATGAAGATTAGTGAGTTAAATCAATTTAATAAATTAGAAATAAAGAAAAATCTAATAAATCACCAATTAATTAGCAACAAATTTGCATTTTAAAATTTATTTTATTGAAAAAAGTCTTCAATTAGTTTAACTCATAAACTTATCTTTAATCTAGTAACACTTAGTAAGGGTATCTAAGAAAAAAGAAATCCGAAATGTGATTTAATTTATTATTACAAACGTTAAAGGAGTCCGAGTCGTTTGTGGACAAGGAAGGTCCAGGAAAACTTATAATTTGCAGGGAAGGGGGTGCAAAGCGATTTACGGCAGCGCATCAATACAACTGGGGAGCACAAGAACGCGGGGACTGGCAAATGAGTTCCATTTATATCATTGGTCATTACGGAAATTATGCGACGCCGAAGGAGTCCAAGTCCTGGGAGTCCACGGAAGCGGTATAAAACGATAAAGATACATTGCAAACGGAAGTCCAAGGATGACAATCGCCTTGGGGACGCCCAATGGAGCTGCATGGCCATGGATGTACGGATGACTCTGGACAGGATTGAAACTGGGGAAGGGAAGTGAAGGGAAGGGAATGACACTGAACGGACACTGACTATTCACCAAGCGGCCGGGGTGAAGTCGTAAAAAACATTCAAGGCAGAGCCCATCAATAAAAAACGCAAGACAATGGACTCATGGCTACATGGGGATGAGCAGAGCGGATTCGGCGAAGGAAAGGAAGGACTTTTAGACTCGAACAAGATGCCAGCCCACAGATTAGAAATGGGAAGAATCCTGTGAGGAAAGGAGGTGACAGATTTAGAGATTAAATTTTGCCGATTAACATGGGTCGTAAAATCTGCGTGTGCTATAGACTAAAAATATGTTTTAGATTCTCAGAAAATATTTACTAAAAAATAGTTATGAAAAGTTCTAAGTAAATTCTATACCCAAAAACCAGTTGTTATAAATTTAAACACAAATGTTTCTTTTAAAAAACTAATTAAAATATATACCCATGTTTTATTTATTTTATTAACAAAGTAAATGTTCATAAAACGGAGTAAAATTCTTGATTTTCGAGAATTTTCTTTGCTTCTAGAATTTAAACCTTAAAAGCTACTTTATTTAAGAATATAGTTTAGCTTAACGCTTTTATCTTTTAAAGACATTTACGGCCAATTTATACCCATGCACATCAATGATTGATAGGCTTTTGGTCAAAAACTTTTTGGCACTTGTCCCTTGACGCGATAAATTTCCCTTTTTCGATGCTGCCAACACGAGATTTACGAGCATATTTTGGTGAAAAACTTTCGAGCTAATGAGCTTCTGAAGGACTTTGGCGGCCGCTCTTCATTAAGCTAATGAGTAGAGTGACGCGGCAATTGCTGGAAACTAATGTGTTAACGATTTAAGGTTAAAGTCAGATGGAAAAATAGGAACAAAACATACCCCATTCCAGCCCGTTCAATGTCAACGCTACGTGTTTGGCATGCAAACCCAGAGAAAGGCTCAGAGTAAAAGTAGAATGCAGAAGGAAGCCCCCCAATCATCCGGCCATGCGATTACATGTGTGAACTATCGATTGAATTAAGACAAGCCAAAAAGGGAGGGGTGGGGCGTATGCGAGCCACTTAAGCGTGTCGCTTGACGGCGGCTCATCCTCGACCACTCGAGGAGCATCATAAAAAACGAAAAACGAAATAACGCACCACCCCGCAAGCCAGACATGCCGAGAAGAAACTCCCCATCCCACACCATCCGATCCCATCGCTACACTCAGAGAAATCGAGTTTCTCTTCAGCATTATTTTCTATAAAAATCAATATAATTTTAAGATCCCTTATAAAAAAATATTATAACAGAACTTAAAAGCATTAAAAGCATACAACTCAAAGTTTGTTACACTAATTATGTTAATGATTTAACCAACAAACACATTACTATAACTTTTTAAATATAGTTGCATATACGACAAAAGATGATATTACTTTTGATTTATTTAAATTTCAATAAAATATAACTCTATAAATTGTTTCCCTTTAGTAATACATTTTTATAATTGTTCTCTTTTCGAAAATATTTCACTAATATAGTTTTCCCAATCAGCATATAATATCATCTTTACAAAAATAGTTTAAAATATTTTTTTTTATTATATTTGACATTTTTGTAGACTCTAAGTGGTATTTGCTAAGCTCAAAAGTCTTTATTTAAATAAGTTTTGTTTGTGTTTTCTTACATATAACTACCTACCTACCTACCTACCTAATATATACATATTCTTATAATTTCAACACATTTTTCGCAGTGCATGTCTCATCAAAGCTGTCACACGTCGCAGTGCAGGCATAAAAAGAGTGCCCCGAATGCGCAGCATAATCAAACGGTGTGTGTGTGGACCATAATAATGTTGACAATCATCCCAGTTGTCCGAGATGGTTTTGGTTTGGGCCCTGCCCCTAAGCACTGATTATGCCCAGGCTGAACTTAGCCCCATGGCCATGACAATTTACCGATTGTCATTGCCGTGTCTATAAATTTAATTTGACAAGATGCCGGGCCCTCAACGCTTCCACTCCCCCAACTTGCCCACTCTTGACATCCACTTCAAGCGTTGCCTGTATCCCGGATTTCACTCGTGGCTGGCCTGCGGCTCAAAATATTGCAAAAGAAGTCGGGGAATGGAGCCGGGGACAAGGAGACTTTCGGTCGCCAGCGATTTGCATCAGAATTTCATAATTATTGTTTAATCTGCACTTGAAGCTGAATCCCAAAATGTCGCAGACCTCGAGAGGATTCGAAGTGGAAATTGCCATTGGATTGGTTGTGAGCCAAAAAGTCTAAGTGTGCGATCAACGAAAGTGAAATATTGTAATAGATTATTGGTTTGTTCCACCCAGACAAGAAGGGCGAATAAAACGTAGGCAAAAAATCTACATACTGTAGGTATACATATGTATTCACAAGTACCTAGCAAAATTCTTTTCTATTTGTTAAAACTATATATATATATATATTGCACATTGAATTTTATTAAAATTAAATATTTTTAAGGAATTAAAGTCTCTTTGCGTCAGTGTGTCGGTTTATTCCAATTTCGGCTATAGTTTTTTTCCAACATTTTTTATTGCATGCGCAAGAAATCGAAATTCGACACTTCCTGCTGGTCGAGAATTAAGCTAGAAAAAAATAAATAAAAAAGGCAAAGGAAAACAAATTAAAATGGCCACTTGATGGCGATCGTCATGATTGGGGGCCAACACAAAAAGAAACCCAAATTTCCACAAAATTTCTTGCGCAATCCGTCTATCGAGTGCTTTCGTCTGGTTACATAAACTCCAAAGACGACCGATTTTGTTGAGGAGGAGCTCCGAGTTCTTGGTAGAGAGCAGGAAATCCATATAATCAAAATTAAAATAATAAATTCAAGACCAAAATCTGAAAAGACCGCCGCAGTTGATACCGAAAAAGAGAAAAATCAAAATGGGAATGAAAACAAACAAGCTTGAAGACCTAATATTTTGTCAATGAACATTTACAGGGCAAGGCGTATATGAATTTAGAGATATGGACTCCGTCTCATTGCCGAATTACGCCGCCTTGATCCAATTCACCCCTCCTTTTCTTGTTTAAAGTCCGTCAGATTGCGATTGCCTCAGATGTTGATGTTGATCTCCATGTTGGCAATTGTAATCCAATGCTGCAGCTCAGATCCAACTTCAATTCTTCGATCGCTCCTGCATGCGCCGTTACGCGACCAAAGTTTGTTGACAGAATTATCCGAGGCCTCGGAGGGATCGAGATGTTTATTTTGATTCTTAAACTGTTGCCCGCGGTGGTCGTCGTCGTCGCTGGAAGCCCATTTATCCATGCCGCCAGACCACACAGCAAATTGACTTCTCGGAAATCAACGGATTCAGATCTCATCTATGACGAAAATTGAGATTTACCCAGTAGTTTTGAAAACATAGATGCTCATATGGTCTGAAGCAAAATGCAATGTTTCTCTACTGTTAATGACAAAACCATTATCATTAAATTTAGTAGCCTAACAAATTCTACTTAAATCGATCTGCTGATTTGTTTCAAATAGGGTATCCTATCATATTTTCACTGAATATAAGATATAAGCTTAAAAACCAATAACTCGATTGTAAGAAACGGAATTTAAAACTGCACGCAAAACCAAAAATACCTTAGTTATTTCAAATTGCATAACATTTAGGAAATATGACCATATATTTTAGGATTAAATAACAAGAATAATCCAATTAAAATTGTCGATACCATATTTTTAGGTAATTATATTCTATGATAACTAACAAGGGGATTAATAGCTGATATTGTCATTACAAACAATTTATTTAGTACATTTATAAACTGTTATAATCTGTTTTTCGATCTATAAGGTTTACCCGATTTTATACCTTTCAAAATATTTGCTGAAAAGAAAATTACCAATAGAATAAAATAAAAAGAATTAGACTTCAGTTTATGCTTTAAATTAGTTTTATTTATTACTAAATTGTTTTATGCACACTTATCAACTACTCACAATTGTTTTTAGTTATTAGTTTATCTTAAATTTGTTGTATTCAGTATTCGTGTTTTTCTTCTAGGCTCACACAGACAGAAATTTGAATCCGTTCAAAAAATCTTAAAATGTACAGAATCGCCTTTTTATAAGTGGGTTTGTGGGTGTATTTACATTTTCCATTATCGTTCTCAGTGCTTATTACATTGTATAGGACTTGTTTGTTTAGTTTACTCCAGTTGAGTTTTGCTCATCGTTTCGTTTCAGTTTCAATTTATACAACATCATTGTCGAGTGTGGTTCTTTAAGTTTGCGGTATTTAAACGTAATACAACCTTTAGTTTTTATTTATTTTATTGCTTACTGAAGGGGTGGAGTGGGGGGCGTGGCTAAAACGGAAACGGAAACACGGCCTCTAAGAACAACTATCGCATCTATGATATTATTATTCGCTTCTGCTGTCGCTTAATACTAGTAGAGAAACTAAGGCTAGAACTAATCAACAAATAAGCGTGTGTTACTAATTCGTAAATTGTAATAATGTAGCGATTGTTAATCAGAAGCTGCTAGTTTTAATTTATTTTTTTTTGTTTTTGTTTCTTTCGATCTATACAATGTTTGTCCTTTATACATACGAGCTCGAATTAATTTTATTTATAATCGATCTTTGCCTTAGTCAGACTGATAATCAGCAAAAGTTCCATCCGAATATGCACTCTCTCTTCCTCTCATTTCGCCCTATCTATTTCAATCTCAATCGATCACTTTCGAAGTTCTCAAACTGATATTTAATTGGAATTTATTGTCGCAAAGTACAAGTGAATTGAACGCTAGAAAACCCCCTCAAAAAATGCCTTATATTTTTATAATTTCTTGGTAAAAGGGTTAACCAAATTCCCTGAAAAGCGTTTAGTTCTGCAGAAATTATCAATAATTTTTTTAATTAACGAGAGAATGCATATGAATAGTAGTAGCATGAAATTTAAAGTGTTCTTAATATAATGAACTATTCAAAGATGATTTTAACATAGCTAGGTCGCATGAATAAATATCAACAGTGGTCTTAATGGGATGCCTTGCTCTTAAAATCAAAATATGAAATGAAAAATAAAAGTTCTTGAAATTAAACCTATTTTTTTGTTAACAATACAAAGACAACTTTAAGAAACTTATACAAAAAATTTCATATAAACTATCGTGAACGTATAACATAAAAATCAAATTTTTTTTGGGAATATACTTAAACTTTGAACATACACATATTTTTAATGAAATGGTATTTATCTCATTGTGAAAACCCTATAACAAATTCTGTGAAAATCATTAATTTGAGAGGATCGATCCTAAGCTCTTTAACAAACTATTCGAAAATCATTCTTGGAATTGTATTGATTTACTTTAAATTATGTCTAGGGAAAACCTCTGGAATCAAACTCTTTTGGGGGAATACCTTACACCCGGAATGCTTTTAACTTAGTTGACCAGCTGCTGGGGATTCCATTGCGGACCCCGATGATGGAGATGATGGTGCTGCTGGTGCTGCTGCGTGGCGGATGCTGAGGATGCGGAGGAGCCGCTGGCCACCGCCAGTTGGCGTCATAGGTAGAACTCCGGCGAACTCTGGCTATCGCCGCCGGCGGCTCCAGCACCTCCTCCTCCGCCGCCATTTCCGGAGCCCACCCGCTGCAGGCGCTGCATGAGGGCGTCCCGCTCCTGGCAGACCCTCGAGTACTCCAGCTTCAGGCGATGCAGATCCTGGTTGAGCACCCGGTTGGCCTTCTCCAGCTCGTGGCGCTGATGGAGTCGCTTGGAGCGGCAGTTCTGGGCATAGCCGCGATTCTTCAGGGTGCGCCTCTTCTGCTTCAGACGCACCACCTCCTCGCGTGGGCAGCCGTGCAGGCGTTTGTTCAGCTCCCGCACCGTCAGCGTGGTCAGCATGTCGTCGTTGAGGCAATCCTCCAGCGTGGCATTGCTGTAGGCACCCGAACAGGTCCGCGGCGACATGTTGTTCGAGGATCTGGTCGAGCTGGCGGAGAGTGGGCGGCATGGCTGTAGTGCAGCGCGTGTGATCACGCAGGATCCGCCGCTCACGCTGCCAGGACCGCCACTGCCACTCCCACCGCCACCGCCGCCGCCGCCTCCTCCGCTGCTGCCACTCCCATTGCTGGGCACTTGGGGCAGACAGGTGGGCGTGAGGGATCCGGTGGCACCGCTGCCGTACGAATTCGAGTGCATATTGATGGGCGTCAGTTCCAGGTTGTGGAAATGGTGGTGATGGTGGTGCGGATATTTGCCCTGTTGCAGCACCACCTGGTGCGGATGCGGATGTGGGTGTGGGTGGGGATGTGGATGACCTCCGTGTCCGTGCGGATGATGCTGGGCCTGCATCAGCGGCTGACCGTGATGATGGTGGTGAGCCGCCGCCGCCTGCAGGGCGTAGTCCCGCTGCCTGTCCCACTCCTCCGCCTCCTCCTGGGATCCGGGATAGGCCAGGGGTCGCAGGTCCAGCGGCTGTTGCTCCGCCCGTATGGAGTTGGTCAGCCACATCATGTCGTGGCTTAGGCCGGCACTCACAGAGGCTGCTCCGGCGGAGGCAGCGACGGCGGCGGCAGCGGCGGTTGCGGATACAGAACTGCCCGGAGTACGGGCATAGTGGTGGGCATAGGTTTGGGCCGGACAGCTGCTGCTGCCCGTGGGTGAACCCACCACGGGCGGCGTTTCCGGCGGCGTTGAGGGTACTCCACCCGGAACTCCGGCGGCCGCCGCTCCCGAGGACGTGTTCACCAGTATGGCCTGTCCGGGCAGCGGACCATATTGCTCCGGTGGCGGCGACAGCGGTTGCAGGCGCCGCTCGTCCATGTGCCACTGGTGGTGGCCGGAGAAGGACCTCAGCTTGATGTGCGGCGAGGGGGAGACCTCCACGGCGCCGGCGGGCTCTGGTCCGGAAAGGGGCAGCGATTCGGGCTCATCATCCGGATTTGTCGGCTCGCCGTGGATTGTCGTCCATTTGACGGCCACCGGTTGCGGCGGACTGTGATCCTCACGCTTCACATGACCAATGGTGGTCACCTGGGCGCCAGAGCCACCGTGGGCTCCATTAACGCCCACCTCCAGGTGGTGCAGATCGAACTCCTGCACGTACGTGTCGTTTATGGTGGGATCCTCCATTTTCATTGGATCGACCAGGGACCGGAGAGGGTCGTTTACGGGTCTCACATGCAAGGGAGTGGCCGTAGTGGGTGGTCTCGAAGGTCAACTACGCGATCGGGGACTACGTTTACGGAAATGGGGCACAGGTGCTTGTAGCCTTAGATTCCGCTTTTATATTTTTTATTCGGGTTTATAATGAGTTTACTATACAAGTTAGGATATTTCTTGATAAAATGGTTATTTTTCAAGATTTCTTTGATTTTTTGGTCGTGTTATCCAAGAAATTCGATTAGAAATTCTATCTTTACCAGTGTGTTTTTTTGCTTTTATATTATGGGTTATTTTAATTTAAAATGTAACAGTTTCTTTTAATTTAGCGATCACTTTCCGCACTTTGGGGCTTTCTTTATAAGCTCGCTCTCTTTCTAACTCGCTCACTTATTCCGCGAACGCGCTTTTCGCGTCCAATTTGAAAGAGTTAACGGTGGCGACTGAGCTCCGGATCCGGGTTTTACTTCTGCCGGACTGACACTGACTGGGGGGTGGCTCTGGTCTGGAAGCTCTGCTCTGGATGCTCTGCTCCCTGGACTGGATGTTAACTGTTAGCTCTTAGAATGGCAGCGACGCGCGCACTTACCCATGCCCACACTCACACACCTATTCCCATAAAGCCAAAAAAGCCGACCAACACAACAACAGTGCAAACCGAGCTCGAACGCCATTCGCTGCTGGCTTTTTGCTCCGAGGGCTCCTGCTGGAAATGGAAATGGAACTAGCGGTGGAAAGATGGAAGTGGCGGTGGCCAGTGGAAGGGAAGGGAAAGCACTTGTCGGCGAGAGAGGGAGAGAGAGAGAAGGAGAAGGAGAGCGGAGAGCCAGGCACCCTTTCGCAACGTTGTTCTTGTTGCTTTTGCCGGCTCTCGCGCACAACAACAAAAGTCAAGCCGGGAAAGCTTTGTAAGTTCGATGCACTGCACAATGGGACGAGAAGTGAAAAATCATCGTAAATGAATTCGAAAAGTCATGAATGCCTTAAAATTTTTAGAGAAACATTTGAGAAATTAATTTGTAACTGCAAGATACTTTTTTATCCCAAAGATACTTTTGTTACTGAAAAATACATTTGAATCTCACGGATTCTTTATTGCCAAAAATAACAACATAGATTTTAAGATAAATTGTGTTGTTGTTTTGATATTTTTTTAAACGCATCAACGTATTGACATATTAACAAATTGAAGGACAATAAAATCAGGTTACGTTCAAAAAGATAAATAAAGGTAATAAAAAATAAATAGGATGATGTTCAATAAGTTGGGGGATAGATCACAGGAACTGTAATAACTTTAACATGTTTAGTAAAAATGTAATCTTCCCATTGAAAACTTTAAATTATCAAATTAAACTAAATAAACTAATGCTACATATGTAATTCGACCTTAAAAAATGTTTTTGTATTTTAATACATTAACATAATAGATCAGCATAGATCTTAAATAAAATCTAAAGGACCTCTGGAATTCGATTTGACAAAAATTATCAAGTAAATCAAGTTTAAAATTTTGGATTTGCAGCCGTTTTACTATGTTTAATATGTTAAATACGTTCTTATTTTTTAAAAGCACTTAAGGGCGATTGCGCCATTGTGCAGGAGTTCAAATCTATGCTCTAGGGTTTCAACTCTGGTGGTTGAATCTCCGCATTTGTTGTTGCTGCCACTGCCACTGCCACTGCCGTTCAGTTTGTTTCATTTTGGCAGAGCTCTTGAAGTAGGCGTTTTGAATTGCCATGGAGCGCATAAAAAATGGCACACATAGACACACAGACACACCTTATGCTGTCGTCGGCTCCGCCCACTTGTCCGTTGTGTGTGTGTATATGTGTTTTTGTGGCGCTCTCCCCATTTTTAAGTGTATTAGTGTCTGAATATTTATGAGCAACTACCACGGAAATTCGCCGCATAGCCCCATTCGCCGATTTCCAGTCTCATTTGGCTGGCCATCGCTATAAGAAGTCGGAGATGGAGATGGAGATGGATATATCTACACATATATAGGTATTTATCCGCAGGAGTGGGTCGCACAAGCACACACAACCGGATACATTCACATCCACTGTTCCATTTTCCAGTGCATAAGTCAATGGGAGATGTTTTAGCCGAGATAAGTCGCTCGATTTGTTTTGGCTCGTATATAATACAGTCCCCACTCTTCTCTATATGGTATGTGTGTTTGCTTTTGGCCAAAGGATTCCATGGTGCACAGGTGCATTTTGTTGCTGAGCCAGCAAAAAATGGACGCACAGACCTTACCAACCTCCAAAAACCCATCTTGGACATGCGATTCTTTTGTTTTACTTTAATTTGGTCTCTTTTTTTGGTGTTTTGAGCAAATGTTTTGGCTTCTTTGGCCAAACAGATTTCTGTGATGTAATATTGTTGTGAGATATGAGAAGAAATTGAGGGGCTCCTGCTTTGTTTGTGCAACAAGTTCTGGGTCGGCAAAAGTGGGAGAACGGAATATGGGCTAGTATTGCCAATAAGGATTCCAAATATACAAACTCTTAAACAAGTTTGGTTCTGTGTTTAACTTCTAGTGTCTCTAATATGGACAAATGAAGATCTGGAATAATTAAATTCTCCATATATAAAAATAAATGATTATACTGTCCCTGTTTAAGCTATGCAGTTCTTCAATATTTAGAGGCATTAAAATATGTGTATGACCAAGCAAAGTTCTTAATGTAATTAAATTAAATGTACCTATCTATATATAGCATTTCATAATTTAAATTACGCTTTTGACAGTACAAAATATTGTCAAATTAAATTTTTTACATTACAGTAAATTTGCATGCTATAATTTTAAAAACCAAAAACCAATTATATTCTTATTATCAGCCAATTTTTGTGTTGTTTTAGCGGAGAACTTGAGAATTTTCTCTTGATAAATGAACATTTCCACATTAAAATATTTAACTATGTGCTCCATAACTTTTAACACACATATTTAAATTTTTACACTTTTTTTAACCTTTTAGTTTTCAATCTATCCTAATCCGTCTATTCTCTAGTAGAACATTTCAATGAACTTTTTCCCCCAGAGAACTATTCTCGTATTTGGTTAGCTTGTGAGCCACAAAAGTGACCACAAAAACTTTGTTCCACTTGCTGAGACAGCTGGGCTTCGGCTTCGGCTTCGTAGCCGTAACCCCCATCCACAACCCTCGGCGTCCCCTGGCATACCCATTCTCCACGCAATTGTTGTGTCGCAGGGAATTGCGAAAGGGGCGGATGGAGGCATAAAACAGGATTCTCCTTGGCCGCTCTCTGCCAGCAGGAAAAACATAAAACAAAATCAAATCAAGCGCTGTGGGTGGGAAATGCAAAGGAAGGGGAGTACTAGGCTTCATTGAAGCTTGTCAAAATTAAATTGAACACAATCGAATTATCCTCTGTATGCTCCATTTGGTTGTCTGTGCTGATTTCCAACGATGCGGGGGTTTGAGGGGGATTAACCAGAAATCCGGACAGAAAACCAACAGGAACAAGAGATAGATGGTCAGGGAGGAGCAGCACTTAAGCATATTAAAAAGGGTTAAAGGTGTGCAAATATTTATCTGCGGCCAATTAAAAATATTTTAATAACCAACTCGAGAAGAGTCAGTCGGCTGGAGTTCGTTGTTTCAGACACGTGTTGGCAAACTTTTTCGATTCTCTTATTTCTTATTTGCACTTAGCCCCCATGCCTGAAAGTATGCAACGATAAAGCTGGAAAAAAGATAGTCACATGGCATAAAAGGGTGTAACAGGATTCGAGTTTATAATAAAAATAGGATGAGAGGCCTACAATTTCGGTAAGCAATAAATCAAAACCCCTGGTAATAACTCTAAGACTTTAAAATATCGAACTTTGAAATTTTCAATTTATTTTCATTTTTAAGAAATTTATATTTCATTTTCAAGAGATTGCCTTGTTAATAGAAATAAGAATTCATTTCAAATGATTCTTAGTAATTTAAAGTAACATTTTTTAATGTTTTAAGATTTAACGATTTTAAAAACTATTAAATAGCAAAACACCACCTGTTTTAGAACTAATAGTCATTTTAAATCGTTTTAGTTACTATAGTAATCCACAAAGTCAGTGATTTTTAAAAGTACTTAGCACTACTAACTACTATTAAATAAATCTTCAAAACGAAATCACTGGTATTAAGCCGTCGTATTACGAAACCTACATCTACCGTCTTTATATCTGCTCATTTGCATCCATTTCGAAGGGCTCCCATTGTCAACTGAATCCGAGTGCAAATATTTGTACGCGATTCCATTCAATTGCATTTCAATTGTTGGCGATGAGGATGATGATGTGTATGTAGATGTCAATAATCATTTCCTCCCGCATCGAGTGAACGCATTTGACAATGTTTATTACGCCGGATTAGGCAGCATTACAACTTACGGGGAAAAAAGGCGCTCAATCGTGGTCGCCATTCTGCCATGTGGTGATGTGATTGATTGTACCCGGCAGTGGCAGTGGCAGTACATCCCCCCAAAAACCCCTCCAGATCATCGCTTGAAGTGCACTTAAAGCACGAAGTAAAGTCGTGTTTTATCACAAACAATTTCTGGTAAATCTACAGAAAATCGATTTTGAAAAATAAAACAAAAAACGTTGACATGTTCATGTCAATTTACCTTCTGTACCCCAGTGAAAAGCCACCGTCCTCATTTTTTTGTCCACATGTCTCAGTGCACAAAATCAGCGGGAGTGCAACTCGATTGGGGGTCGCCTTCGTGCTAGGCAATGAATTTGTATACGATTTTTGCCCCTATTTCAAAACGACAGGTTTAATGACTTGTAAAAAGGAGTCAGAGAACAAGAGCAGCAAATTTTTATTCCACTTTATTGTAATCATTTTGCACAAATTAAAGTTTAAGTTAGACTGACTTAAACTTATACGTTTAAAAATGATTAAATTATATAATTAATAGCTTAAGCTGCAAACCAATTTTTCTTAATGTTTTTTCTTAATATTTATATATCTTCAGACCTCAGACTATTATTTTTGTCAAATTTGTCTTTTATATAAACATGTATTCTTAACCAAAAGGTAAAAAACAATTTTTGGTCTATAATAATATGAAAAATATATATAATTTATATTATTTCCCAATAAAAAAACTTAATTTCGCAGATTACAGACCTAATTTAGAGACATTCCTGAAGTGAAGAGCTTAATCCAGTGATTACCTATTAATAAAGGTCTTCATTCTTGCTGTTTAAATATCGCTTAATTCGAAATAATGCATTGGCACACACAGTTGCCAATCGGTAGTGCAAGAAAAACAAATGTCGCAGCCATTTATCACTTGACTGGTCCTTCGCTGAGCAAACAGGCTTCGTCCTGCGGCAGGACCTGTGATAATCGGTGTCTGTGGCAACAGGGCCATAACGATCCACCATTTATAGGGCTTACACCTTCGCCTCAGGCCCGGAATCGTCGTCTTCCGGAGTCAACAAATTGACAGCAAATATTTCAATTATTCTGCCCTGGTCCTTATTTATGGAAATCCCCCCAAACAACCGCAATTTCGCTGGTGGCAAGGGGATGTTGACCCCCGTTTAGACCAGTTGATGTTTGTTTACAAATCGCTGGACATAATTTATTTGTTCCCATTGTTTTGCTTTTAGCTTTGGATCTGCCTGCCAATCGCCGAATGATAAACTGCGTTCGATGATAAGAAAACGAAACCCAAAGGGTGTGAGTAAGGGGTTGTTTTGGTCGGGGTCACTCTTGCCAGTTCATTAGGAAGCAATTATCCGTTTAGGGTTGCAATAACACCACCACCACTCCACCCCTTTGAGGGCCACAGGAAAAATTGAAGGTCAGGTACACTGTCAACGGATGTCAACGACTGTCAGTTTGACACTGCCATCGGTGACAGTTGACATCCGGGGAAACGCCCCCAAATGTGTCGTCTGTATAATATGGCCAATTTGGCAAGTTAGTTGTAACTGAGAACGAAATAAGGATATTCTTAAAGCGATTACTATTACATGTCCATAGAATAATAAATCACAGGTTGAAGTGTAAGAGTAAATTGAATTAATAGTCTGATAGTAAGACTGATTATAGCTTTATTGAAGAACTAATAACTTTGGAAAAAAAAATCAATTTAGAAGGCTGTTGAATAGTTATAAACTTATCAGTTATCTGATTTGGCTATATATAGGTACTAGTTAATGTTAAGTAATGCAAACTTTGTTTATATAAGAAACAAAATCATATTTAAGACTTTTTTTTTGTAAAAAAAAAGAAAATTCGTTTGAATTATGAAGTAATTTTATTATATTTGAGATCATATTCTATTAGCAATTTTTAAATCAACACAAAGAGTTTTTCTAAAATCATAAAAATATAATATAGTTATTATTTGAATTAAATAGAGTTGGTGTTTATTGAAAGTTCGTTTTCGAAAGCAGGTGGACAAACAGATAAATCTCAACTTTAAATACCTATCGAACCCAGAATGAAATCCAGTTCGTATAGTCAGTTTCTGCAAATGTATGAGTATGGAATTGCGACACATGTTGGAGAAGGCGAATCATTTGCCCCTTTTGTCCGCCTTCTTTGTTTTTCAATAAAATTCGAATAAATTCAGTTTGCAAGCCATAAATTATGTCCAGTTTGGTTTCGACTCACACACGTGTTGCCAGAGGCCAGAAGCCAAATACCAAATGCCAAAAGCCAACTAATAACGCGCAGCGGTCGTGCCTCCCAAATGTAGGCTATGCGATATGTGTTTTTTGTCTGAATGTTTTTTCCGTTCTGACTGCCACTGTGTTACTGTCCCCCATAAATATTTGCGCAATAAATTTTTTAATCTTGTCGCTTTAATCGCACAAATGTCGCTGCCTTTTATACGCACCCACACAGATGCCCATCACGCACACAGATTATGGACCTCCCCCCATCCCCCCTTTCCCAATCTGACATTATAGTCAACCTAGACCCCCGGTAGCAGCAAAATCAATTTCACTATCGTTGACCAAAGGGCAAAGCAAGGCCACAGAAGAGATTGTAGCGAAGCATGGGATACCCTGCAAAAGGAGTTCCAAATTCCATTGACAAAATATTTAGTAATAAACATATTTGTAACCTGTTTTGGAAATAGTCGTGGAGCTGTAGATTATTTCCAAAACATGTTTTAAACTTTTTTTTCTAAACCTACAAAATTAATATTAACACTTTCAAAAGTAATGTAAAACTATCCGTTGGCAAACCTTAAATAAATAAAAATACTATTTTATTAAATCGTTATAAGATGCACGAAATCTTAAACAAATTAATTAAAAATTATTTTATTAATCACAAAAAAAAGTTTTTTACCTCAACATATTCGTATATACACTATTATATGCAAACTGGAATTACTTAATGGCTTTTAGATTTTTAACTTTTTATAAAATATATTTCATGTAGAGTACCTCATGGTCGAAATTGTAACTCCCATTTTTACATTTCCAAGTTCTGTTCTTTACCGTCTTTTTTTTGTCAGCCGTACAGACGGCAACGACTTCCGGAGGACGGGGGATGATGCTGAGACAAAGGGATTCAATAAAAAATATCAAACATATTCGCAACGGTCAAATGAAGGAATCTCCTCTCCCTTTCCCTCTCTTTTGGGCTATCACCTCCCTCTCGTTCATATCCGGTCGCAGGACGAGTGCAAACATATTTATGGCCGCCGACTGCATTTTATGCGTTGTCCAACACTCAATTACCATAACGAAAAATAGCAGTGTGGCTAGTTGTCTCGCTCTGGCACCTAGCGCACTTTGCATACGAATCGCATAAAATTGGAAGGACCAAGATGATATGCTTCCTTGACCGAAACAAATCTTCTGAGGGCTCGTTGTGGGCCATTTGATTCGGTTAGGACCAAATTATTATTGCCCCAAGCTCGGTCGTCATCGGTCATTGATGTGGCCGGCAAATGTGCGAAGCATTATAATTTATATCGTTTCTAACCTCAAATGGTTGGGACCTAACCTCAAATAGGGTATAAAATTGGAGGATATCTAATAAAGATACTTTTCTTTTAGGAAATATCAAATCAGACATTTGTCTTAATCAAATAAAATTTTAAATTCTGAATTAGATAAAAATTTTATTATATCATCGATTGGAAGTCAAGTTTTCCCTACTTTTTAAGTAATGGTTGAAACCGTTTAACTTGCCCGAAAATAAAATTAAATTTAGGGTTCAATTTGAATTTTTTTTATTCTTAAAATATATCCTAATTTTGTGCCAATTTTTTTTGTGTTATTGCATAACATTTAAGAAATGTTTAATTTTTATAAGAGTACAAAATTGTTAATTTTATATTTTCCTTTCATAATTTGTATAATCAGTGCCTAGTGGAGCATACGCAAATATATCAAATTAAAGTTAGCTCGAAACCTAGTCAAAGATGAAACCCAATTGTTCCATATCCTTTTGGACACCATTACCCGAACATTGCTCCTTCAGCATGTCCAGCCAGAGCGTATAAGAGTAATCCTCATGCAAACCACCATAACTGAAAAGGTGTAAAAGAAATAACGAAATTGTAAGACTTGTAAATAATAGATTTTTACTCACCGCTTGGGTAGATGTTCTGGATTGATGTGTTTATGCAGGGATGTCATATCACTGCCATGGATGTAAAGTTTTTCTTTCATGGCGGAATTGAGGAAAGGCTTAAATATCTTGAATGCCGCATTGAAGACCCAATTCTGATTAACGATATGGAGGGCGGATGTCCTAATAGGCATGGAGGTCTGTAAAGTCAAAAGATCGATTTAATTTTGTATTATCTGGAATTTATTTGAGTTTCTATATTGCCACACTTACCACCAGCAGGGCAATCATCTTTTGTGCCACACTGGGACTCAGATGGAGTATGTGTTCCAGGCCCAGATCCTGCAGGTCGAAGATTCCCACTCCGCCCACGATCTGTGAGATCGGCTCCAAGCTGCCCAGCTCCTGCAGGACAATGGTGGCCCGGAATATATCGTCGATGGTCACGCGATTGGGTCGCCACAGACCAAATCGGTAGATGAGTATGCGGTGGCCATGTTGGTCCCGATAGGGCGTCACTGTCAGGATGTTCGACTGTCCAATGTGACGCAGCTCCAGAGGACGAACCTTCTCGTAGTAGCTTTTGTTGTGCTCCCGAAATTTGTAATAGCTGCAGAGCTGAAATGGAAAAAGGTTATTTATTGTTTTTAATAAATGAAAACTAATTTTTTTTTAAGTAAATAAAATTTATTTAAGCAGTCTCTACAATGAGAAACCTATAAATTTAATATTAAAATTATTAGCATAGATATGAGCAACCTATAAATTAAATTGAAAATTCTAAGCATAGAAGTCGACGATTAGAGTGTAAAAACAGATTAAAAACATTTTTTTAAAAAATAACAGAAGTATTTTTAAAAGTTTAAGTACCAGAAATGAAAAACATTTGCAAGTTTTCTTTTTCCGAAAACAAAATCAAATCAAAGTATTTGCACTTTAAAAAGAAATTAAAATTGTTTAAAAAGATATATCATACCAATTTATAGCTGTTCTCTATTTTCCAGTAGCGGGCTCTCAGAAATTTCTCCAAATATTTCGCATCATTTCTGTGTGGTTGGCAATCGTTGTGTTCTGCAAAGTTTTTATGAATGTTTAATTCCAGAAAATCTACCATTAAAAGAGGGGATTATATACCAACCTAATATGTAGGTGCGAAATTGTTCGATAATCTTGTCTTTGGAACTGGGACACTCGCCCTGCTCCTCGGCAAGTCGACGAATGTGCTCCGGGACCTCCTCCTCGGTGATATTCAGCTTGTGCTCGATGGTGGGCATGTTGAGGGATCCACTGGTGGTCGTCTAAAAATGCATAACCCAAACGTTATACATAATGTGGCTTTCAAGTGTACCGCTAAACTATTTTCACATGCGTTTCGCACCAGCAATAAAAAAGCTTAGAATAAACAAAGCACCGGTTGTGAAAAACAATTATGAGTTCAAACGACCTCCGCGAATCTCATTGTTAGCAACATTTTCCCCTGATTGACACTTATAACTTCTATTAACTATTGATGGGTGGATTTCTTATTACCATTTGATTAGTTGCGATCCGCTCGACTTCAAGTGTGCAACTGAGCCCCCGAACGGAATCAGAATCCGGCCAAATGTTCCCAGTCCCATGGAAAATGCTGTTTGGCGTTACACATGTATGCCACCATTAAGTATTAAGTAGAAACCGAACAACAATGAACATGACAGAGCTCCGCGATAGCGGGAGGGAGACAGCTAATCGGCCGATAACAGTATGTCGCAGAACTCAAGTTATTTTTAGTTAAGCCCGCTGTTAATCAGGGAGGCAAATAATTTAAAGGAATATATTAAATACAGTTCAATTGCGTAGTTTCTAAAATCATTTAAATGGGTTTTAATTAATAGGAGCTATTCGATAATCACCACATAATGGTTATTGATCGATTTTTTTCGTGAATAAAGAGATTTGCATATTTGTATATCAGCTAAATAGGTTTCAAGCTTTTTAAGTTGCAATTCTACAAAGCTGTTTAAGAAAAAAATAGCAAATATATCCAATTTGTTTATAGTATATAAATCGTATAATTTTGATTGTTAATTGCTAAATAATTTAAAATTTCCAAAATAGACTTTCAAATCATATTCAAATTATGAACATTTTTGCAAAATTGATTTCATTTTTGTGTTAATTTTATTCAATTTATTTTTTGATTATTAAAAAGGCACAATTTTTGATTTAAAAACATTTAAGCCTTTGCGTAACCAAAATGCATATCTTGTTTGCTAAATAACATTCCTACAAAGTGAAAAGTTAACCCTATATAATTATTATTATGAAAAAGATGTAAACATATGAGAGAACATAATAAGCAATATTACTGAGAAATAATTCAATTTGATGCTCAATTATAAACAAACGCTGGACACCTAATATAATTTACATATATTATTAAATAAATGTATTGCTTAACAACTTATACTGTTCTGTTGCAAAGTGTAATATGTGTCTCGCCCTTGGCCGGAATCCCCGATCCCCGATTCCGATCCTATCCCCAAAACTCAGCCTCGCCCCCTTGTGAACCCATCGATTACGTTATATTGGATCCGTGATAAGCGGTTCGGTATTCCAATCGGTTCAATGGCTAATCAGGTCGCTTGGGGTCCGCCGCTGCAATGTTGTGACTTCGACACCTATATATGTACTATATACGTTTTTCGCAGATAATGATGATGCCACCGCAATCTCAAAGTGCAGTGCACAGAAATATCACACGTGGTGGGCCGTGCAAAGTGCCTGGGTCAATATTTAATAGTATTCAAACAAATTCCGACTAATTACACGGTATTCGGCGTTTCCGAGGGTGGTAACCATTTACAATGTTAAAACTTCGGTTCAAATGTTAATGAACTCGCTATTGTTGTGGTTAATTGTCTCCGTACAATTGGAGTTAATCACAAGAATTGTTGGCTTAGGCCCAATTAGTGTTTTTGATAATAAACAACTTTTTCAAAGCCCCGCCTGTCTGCCAACACCTGGTTTATCACCCCATTAGTTCGGGGTCTCCACTTTCATTACCAGGTAATAATGCTACGATCCGAGTTGGGCGGCTTTTGTTTCTGGTCACGGTTTTTCACATCGAAATACGGGGAACCCGGCTCAACAAAGATCGCACACAGCTGACACAAGTGGCATCGCAGAAGTTTGCGACGAAACTGAGCTGCGGATCGTTTAGAACAAAACTTTTTACGAGCCTCAAACTCTCAATGAAAAAAGTTGAGAAAAAGTGCAGCCGTAATGACCACAAACCAGTATGCGAGAATAAAAAACCAGCATCAGAATGGGGAGAGCTAATTCAACGATCCGAAACTGGAAACACCCTTGATGGCAGACTGGGGTTAATATTGTTTGTCTTAAAGGTATAATTCATATACTTTTATTCATTTGCTTTTTTAATTGTTTATTTATTAATATAATCATCATTCAATGTAGGTTGGAAAAGATATGTTCTTGGTATAAGCATCAAATTTATAAATTAATTGTTTTTCTATTTTTTTGCATTTGATTCTGATTGTTGGATTCTCTACCTCGAAAATCTTAATCAAATTTCTTAGACAAGAGGCTTAAACATTTATAAAAATGATTTAATTGGGAATAACCAATGGGAATGCATTCAATTTTTTTCCCTGTAAGACATTTTATGTCAGCCAAAAATTTCCCAACTAAATAGGGTGCAAACTAAACTTCACGTCTAAAGATATCTCAACTGATGCTTGTCAAACAAGAAACTACATTGTTTGTGGATGAGAGAACATTTCTGGACAAGATTTGATGCTGGATAAATTCAATGAGCTTCGGTGACGTCACAGCGAGAAGGGTTCTTACTGGCCCCAAGCAAACGTTTCAAGTGAATCGGACCTAACAAAGATCGGATATCCAGAATATTCTTTTTAAACAAAACGTTTACCTTTTAAAACTTGTTTCTGTTTTGCAGTGAAAATCGCAACGGGATGGGGACTGTTCCTGCCCCTTTATGACGTCTTGTTGGGCAAGGTCAGTCAACAGCAGAAAAAAAACCAGTTCGCTTTTAACCATGCTCTTGGCTATGGGCACCTAAGCAAATGGCTTTGAAAAAATCATACTACCAGGTGGTTAATTGATTGTAATTGTACAAATTTTTGTAATTTAATCCTTAACTTTGATTTTAAACTGATTGGCTTTATTTGGAGGTATAAATTAAATAAACTGTAGCTATATGGATATTACATAAAATATGGCTAAGTAATGTGAAGAAAAAATAATTCAATTTTATTTGCAGGTACAAGTAATAAATATTTATAAAACAATTGTTAATGATGTCACATAAAAATTCCCTAAACTTAATTATAAATATGCTTTTAAAAAAAAAAAAAACCTATTCACCCCTGGCTATCCGGCGTAAAAGTTTTACTCAAGCTAAATTGCAATAAATTTGTTTATTTAAATTCTATTTTCATGTGGTTTATATGCAAATAGGTACATACAATAGTATATACTTCACTAACTAAAGAAAGTGATCATTAAGATCAATTTGCAATTCTGTGTCTTCTCAAATTGCGGAGATATTGAAAATTTGAATTTTTCTGAAACAGCTGGCAAAATGCCGTTAAAATTTCATGGAATACCCCAGATATATTTATGGTATTTTTTTCTAAAAGAAAATGGTATGATTTGGTATTTTTGAGAGCCGGGCGGTATATTCCTCCGACTTCTTCGCAGCCACACTGAGAGTCAATTCACTTTTTTGTTGTCGGTTTACGAAAAGTGGATAAATGTGTGTATTTTAATAGTTTGCCGCGATCTGTACCAGTTTTTCCGAAAGGCAGTAGACGCGAGGACGCACATACATATTAAAAATTGTAGTGCGTCGCCTCGTTTTTCGCCTGCAACAACAAACTTGGCTGCGCTTTGATTGTCGGCGGCAGCAAAAAATAACTGCAAAACCTCTGCAACTTTTTAATCAGGTAAGAAGGAAATAGCATATAATGTGATTAAAATGCAGGCAGACCGAAATAAAAGGTTAAATGCTTGGAACGGTCTTGTAAAACAGTAAATTTCGCAATTCTCCGGCAGCGTCGCTTGCAAATTAAAAATGGCGCTACCGGTATAGAGAGCACAATTCAAATGTGCAAAAAATTCTTCCCACGTGCCGCAAGCCAAGCCACGCTCAGTTGCGCCTTTAAAAGAATTTTTATACAAGTACAAATTGTTGTACAACCTATAAATAAATATGTAATTTTATCAATTACCGGCAAATGCCAATAACACACGCACTAACGCACACATACAGACGCACGCCAATCGCAGAGTTGCCGCCAAATTTGCTGAAAATCTGTTCCCAGTACAGTAATGCCCGCGGGTGCAATGGTTTTCTAAACAATAGTCTGATTTAAACAAACAAAATAGTCTGATTTAAATTGGTTTAAAAAAAAACTTTAAGTAGTTTCAGTCAGCCCTACCTAACATATTCCCCTTTGGCGTAGTCCCCTTCCAGGTTTTGTCTGGCCAAATATTGCACTAAGTGCGCGCGCGCGCGTTTGTTTTTTATTTTGCTGTCGCCGTGAGTACAGTGTGCCGTCATTAAGGGTGATTCTATGCGAAGTCGATGTAGAGAGGGTACAAAAAAGTTATAGGACTATTTCCATTGGAAAAAATCTAATATATATTAAACCTGATATTATATTACTTTAGTAAAATTTTCTATACATTCCTTAAAAAAAAAAACCTTTAAATGCATTTAAAGAAACCATTAAACATAAAAAAAAATATTTGATATATTTTCATTCCGTGAATGTGATAACTAACACGCTCTACAGTTTTCTGTTTCTGCTTATTCTGACAAAAAAGACAGACGTATAGAGCAAAGTGATTAATAGCAGCGCCTAAGGCTGTAGCTGGGAATAGTTCTGTGTACAGTCGCTTCACTAAATAAACAAATATTTTTTTGTGGACATTTTAAAGATCCAGCAAAAGCACAGCGGCATAATGGAGAACGGCAGCAAGGCATCGGCCATGTCCATCGAGCAGATGTATCAGAAGAAGTCGCAGCTGGAGCACATCCTGCTGCGCCCGGACTCGTACATTGGGTCCGTGGAGTTCACCAAGGAGCTGATGTGGGTGTACGATGCCACGCAAAACCGGATGGTGCAGAAGGAGATCACATTCGTGCCCGGCCTGTACAAGATCTTCGATGAGATCCTTGTGAATGCGGCGGACAACAAGCAGCGCGACAAGAGCATGAACACCATCAAGGTGGACATTGATCCTGAGCGAAATGTGGTGTCCGTGTGGAACAACGGTCAGGGTATTCCCGTCACCATGCACAAGGAGCAAAAGATGTACGTGCCCACGATGATCTTCGGCCACCTGCTGACCTCCTCGAACTACAACGATGACGAGAAGAAGGTCACCGGCGGCAGGAACGGCTACGGAGCGAAACTTTGCAACATCTTCTCCACCAGCTTCACCGTGGAGACCGCCACGAAGGAGTACAAGAGGAGCTTCAAGCAGACCTGGGGCGACAACATGCAAAAGGCCTCGGATGCGAAGGTAACTACTAAATGCCAAATGCCTGTTCCAAAACATCAACTAATCAATTGATAAACCCACAGATCAAGGACTTTATGGGCACCGATTTTACCCGCATCACCTTCAGTCCCGATTTGGCCAAGTTTAAGATGGAACGCCTCGATGAAGACATTGTGGCGTTGATGTCGCGACGCGCCTACGACGTGGCCGCTTCATCCAAGGGCGTGTCCGTCTTCCTCAACGGCACCAAGCTGACGGTGAGGAACTTCAAGGACTACATCGATTTGCACGTCAAGAGCACGGACGAGGACAGTGGTCCACCCATTAAGATCGTGCACGAGGTAGCCAACGAGCGGTGGGAGGTGGCCTGCTGTCCTTCGGATCGCGGTTTCCAGCAGGTCTCGTTCGTCAACTCGATATGCACCTATAAAGGTGGTCGGCATGTGGACCATGTGGTGGACAGTATTATTAAGCAGCTGATCGATGTGCTGAAGAAAAAGAACAAAGGTGGGTTTTAAGGGTTTTTCAAACAACTACGTTCTCATACTAATAATTTGCAATCGCTTTTAGGCGGCATCAACATCAAGCCCTTCCAGGTGCGAAATCATCTATGGGTTTTCGTCAACTGTCTGATTGAAAATCCAACGTTCGACTCGCAGACCAAGGAAAACATGACGTTGCAGCAAAAGGGTTTCGGCTCCAAGTGCACCCTTTCCGAGAAGTTCATCACGAACGTGTCCAAATCGGGCATCGTGGAGTCTGTGCTAGCGTGGGCCAAATTCAAGGCCCAGAACGATATTGCCAAGACGGGCGGACGCAAGTCGAGCAAAATTAAGGGCATTCCCAAGCTGGAGGACGCTAACGAGGCCGGTGGCAAAAACTCGATCAACTGTACCCTCATCCTCACTGAGGGAGATTCAGCCAAGTCTTTGGCGGTCTCTGGTTTGGGCGTCATCGGTCGAAATTTCTATGGAGTATTCCCGCTAAGGGGTAAACTTCTCAATGTGCGCGAGGCTAACTTTAAGCAACTGTCGGAGAATGCCGAGATCAACAACTTGTGCAAGATCATTGGGTTGCAGTACAAAAAGAAGTATCTCAACGAAGATGATCTGAAGACACTGCGCTACGGCAGACTGATGATCATGACAGATCAGGATCAGGACGGTTCCCACATCAAGGGTCTGCTGATCAACTTCATCCATACCAATTGGCCAGAACTGCTGCGATTGCCCTTCCTGGAGGAGTTCATCACGCCGATTGTGAAGGCATCCAAAAAGAACGAGGAGCTCTCGTTCTACTCACTGCCCGAGTTCGAGGAGTGGAAGAACGATACGGCCAACCACCACACCTACAATATAAAGTACTACAAGGGTTTGGGTACTTCGACCTCCAAGGAGGCGAAGGAGTACTTCCAGGACATGGAGCGTCATCGCATCCTCTTCAAGTACGACGGTTCGGTGGACGATGAGAGCATCGTGATGGCATTCTCAAAGAAGCACATCGAGTCTAGGAAGGTGTGGCTAACCAACCACATGGACGAGGTAAAGCGGCGCAAGGAGCTGGGTCTGCCCGAGCGCTATCTGTACGCCAAGGGAACCAAGCACATTTCCTATGCAGACTTTATCAACCTGGAGT